GACCAATAGCGTATCTATAAACTACTCATATGTAATCTTACTATCATATATTACCCTTTGCACGCCTGTATGCAACCTGTATACCACTCATAGCGTACTACCTTTGTCCTATTCATCTACGACTGATAAGCTGCATCAACCCCCAATCCCCCCACCACCCACACCACAGGGGGAGGGGGGGTACTAACGATACATATGTACATGTATCATGTATGTGAATATATGTATATGTATGTATACTATAGTACCTACATGTTCTACATACATACTACCTATAATACTAATACTATACACCGTACATATTGACTACTCATACACTGTCTATATACTATCCATATGACACGGTTACAAATAGATAGACACTACCTGTGTACTACATACATATGTACTACATACATATGTACTACATACATATGTACTACATACATATGTACTACATACATATGTACTACATACATATGTACTACATACATATGTACTACATGCATATGTACTACATACATATGTACTACATACATATGTACTACATACAGATGTACTACATACATACTACCACATAGCACCTAGGTACCACTTATTTGGATGCCACAGTACCAGCTATTATACGTATTATATATATATATATATTCCCCGTACAGCCAGCAGATGCAACCCCGTTCCCACCCGAACCCACACCACAGGGGAGGGGGGACACCATGAACACACTGCATACACAACCACCTCCCACCCCAACCCAGACCCACAGGGGGGGTGGGGGGATACGAGAGGGGGAACCCAGAACCTGGATTATACATACATACATACCTACCTACATACATACATACATACATACGTACATACATACATTTATATACATATACATATATAAATATATATATATATATATATGTATATAGAGCATACATATATATATATATGTATATATATACTCATATACACACACACACATATATATATATATATATTAGATCCAGCTACTTACACTGTCTTAAACCATGGGGTCACGAGTTGCTTTGCTCCGTATGTTTTGCAGAATCTGGATGACAGTTGCACTTTTTGAACGGATCATAGAATGTTGCCACCATTTGCCACCCTTGAGCAGACAATAGCAGACAGATGTTAAAACAATCCCCGTGCAGAGAGATCGACTGCAGTCTGTGTATTGACTTCAGCATTGACTTCAAAGCTCAAGTCTTGGAAAGAGTTTATTACATTGTCATGCACAGATGACCAGCCTTTCTGTAGTTTTCTCGTGAGTTGCCTTTACCACGGGTTAATTTGATCAATTAGCTTGTCAATTCCCGTCATGCTTGCAGGACTCTGGGCCAGAACGAATCAGATTAGGCTGAGGAGCGTGAGGAGAGAATTCAGCTGATGGGGGCTCAAAGATGTGTAGAACAAGGTGGAAAACATTAAGACTGACTTCACACAGATGTGGTTTGAGGTTTGCAGATTGGATGCTGCAAGATGCTGCAGAGATGTATTGCAGACAGTCAAAGTCTGCAGGAAAATGCCCCCTCGTGCCACCTCATGCCACCACGAAAGCATCAACAAATCAAACTCAGACATATGGGAGATTATGGGAGCCAGGTCGGAGAACGTGAAACAGTCAAACAATGTCAGAGATTCATTCCCATTCACTCCCGTCTCGCGAATGCCAAAGCCAAACAACATCACAACACCCAGACCATCCCATACCCAGACGAGTTCGTTGCAGTGCGATCAGATGCGACACTGTGCGTTGCACTGTGCAAGCCAAGACGGCCTTCAGTGCAGCTCTTGCAGCGAGAGTCGATCAGAGCAAGGTGGCTAGAAATGGCACGGGTAAGCAGCGCAGCTTGTGGCTTTATTGTGCTTCATTATCATATAGATCTCTCTCTCTCTCTCTCCCTCTCTCTCTTTACAGAGGTCTTGCGGGCTGAAAGAAATGAAAAGCAAGTATAGTTTGAATATGTTTGAATCTTCATGAAAAGTTGTGCAACATCGTGTGTGGTCCGGACTTGTCCGTGCATGGCTTCAACGGCCTTGCCCGTATACAATCGCAAAGTCAGTCTGTGAAATTGGTATGTGAATAGATCAACAAATCAAGAAAGCTGTGCGAGAGATTGTTCATGATACCACTGCGTTTCTTGATTCTACGACACAGTAGAGGTCCACAATCGCTTGGCAATGGTCACTATTACTAACACTAGCGTTAAGTCGTATCAGCTCGTAAAAGTCGTATCGGGAGGCCGTGCGCCTGGAAAAAGTTCAAGTTTGGCATCACCACAACTTTTAGTAATTGAATGATTTCATTGTTTTGGGGCCGTGCGCCTGGGAAAAGTTCAATTTTTGTGTTGCGTTGATTTTTAAAACTTATATTTGATCATTCTTTCAAGGGGGCAAACGCTGGTTGCTGCTTGCCTGCTGCTTGCCTGCTGCTTACTGACTGCTTACCTGCTCCTGCCTACCTGCTGCTGCTCACCTGCTGCTGCTTACCTGCTATTGCTCACCTGCTGCTTGCCTGCTGCTTGCTTGCTGCTGCTTCTTGCCTGTTGCTTGCTTGCTTGCTTGCTGGCTGGCTGGCTGGCTTGCTTGGCTTGCTTGGCTTGCTTTGCTTGCTTTGCTTGCTTTGCTTGCTTTGCTTTGCTTTGCTTTCCTTTGCCTTGCTTTCCTTTGCCTTGCCTTGCCTTGCTTCCTTGCTTGCTTTGCTTTGCTCGCTTTGCTCGCTTTGCTCGCTTTGCTTGCTTTGCTTGCTTTGGCTTGCTTTGGCTTGCTTTGCTTGCTTTGCTTGCTTTTGCTTGCTTTTGCTTGCTTTGCTTGCTTTGCTTGCTTTGCTTGCTTTGCTTGCTTTGCTTGCTTTGCTTTGCTTTGCTTGCTTTGCTTGCTTTGCTTGCTTTGCTTGCTTTGCTTGCTTGGCTTGCTTGGCGTGCTTGGCTTGCTTGGCTTGCTTGGCTTGCTTGGCTTGCTTGGCTTGCTTGGCTTGCTTGGCTTGCTTTTCTTGCTTGGCTTGCTTTTCTTGCTTGGCTTGCTTGGCTTGCGTGGCTTGCGTGGCTTGCGTGGCTTGCGTGGCTCGCCTGGCTTGCCTGGCTTGCCTGGCTTGCCTGGCTTGCCTGGCTTGCCTGGCTTGCCTGGCTTGCCTTGCTTGCCTTGCTTGCCTTGCTTGCCTTGCTTGCCTTGCTTGCCTTGCTTGCCTTGCTTGCCTTGCTTGCCTTGCTTGCCTTGCTTGCCTTGCTTGCTTGCTTGCCTTGCTTGCCTTGCTTGCCTTGCTTGCCTTGCTTGCCTTGCTTGCTTGCCTTCCTTGCCTTCCTTGCCTTCCTTGCTTGCCTTCCTTGCCTTCCTTGCCTTCCTTGCCTTGCTTGCTTGCTTGCTTGCCTTGCTTGCCTTGCTTGCTTGCCTTGCTTGCTTGCTTGCTTGCTTGCCTTGCTTGCTTGCCTTGCTTGCTTGCCTTGCTTGCTTGCCTTGCTTGCTTGCTTGCTTGCTTGCTTGCTTGCTTGCTTGCTTGCTTGCTTGCTTGCTTGCTTGCTTGCTTGCTTGCTTGCTTGCTTGCTTGCTTGCTTGCTTGCTTGCTTGCTTGCTTGCTTGCTTGCTTGCTTGCTTGCTTGCTTGCTTGCTTGCTGGCTTGCTTGCTTGCTTGCTTGCTTGCTTGCTTGCTTGCTGCTTGCTGGCTGGCTTTGGCTTGCTGGCTTGCTGGCTTGCTGGCTTGCTGGCTTGCTGGCTTGCTTGCTGCTTGCTGGCTTGCTGGTTTGCTTGGCTTGCTTGGCTTGCTTGGCTTGCTTGGCGTGCTTGCCTTGCTTGCCTTGCTTGGCTTGCTCGCCTTGCTCGCCTTGCTCGCTTGCTCGCTTGCTCGCTTGCTTGCTCGCTTGCTTGCTGGCTGGCTGGCTTGCTTGCTTGCTTGCCTGTTGCTTGCTTGCTGGCTGGATGGCTGGCTGGCTGGCTTGCTTGCTTGCTTGCTTGCTTGCTTGCTGCTTGATTACTGCTTGCCTGCTGCTGCTTGCCTGCTGCTGCTTGCCTGCTGCTGCTTTGTGCTGCTGCTCCTGCTGCTGCTGCTGCTTCTTCCTCCTGTTGCTGCTGCCGCTGGTGCAAACTCATCGCTGTGACAAATCATCGCTGTGCGCAATGCTTCGGCTACTTTTAACTAAATCTCCAATTATTATAATTGTAGTTCTCAATGAACTGACTCTTGCCTTGTTCTTGATTCGTCATGTCACAGGACTTCTTCCATTCATGCAGCGTCATACAGGCTGAGCCGGCGCCAGACTTAGCTTAGGCATATCCCCCCAAAAATCACCCGAGAGACGGGCGTCATATTCATATCCCATATATCCTTCCAGATCCTTCCAGTTTCCGACCTGTCATGGATGGTCGTGAGCGGCACGGCCCCTATGATCGGCCGACTTCACAAGACTCTTGGCTGTCAGACACTGAAGAACTTGGCACATTGTGGGTCATCGCTAAAAACTGCAAATGCAGATAAATGATGAAAAATGCATCCTATAAGCTACTAGTATGTACTTTGTATGTGAACATACTGGTATGCACTGCACTGGTATGTAACTTATGTGATGTTTCGTGGTCCCATGTGAGACATGCCAAGGACTCAAACTTGCAGGAGGACCTATGTCCATTTTGCCGATGGCCGGCTGAGCTTCTTAGACTTGAGTTTCTCATGGGAGCCTTCAAGATTTCACAAGCATAGGGCATAGGACATAGAGCCACTATGAGCCACTTAAACATCTTAAACCATGCAAGACTGAGTGAAAGATACTTGTGTCTTAAATGACATTTGGATACATTTGGTTGTGGTGAAGTGTGGTGAACTGTTGGGCTATGCTGGGCTCTAAAAATCCATCCGATCCAATAGGCACCAAAGAATCCAATGGGCCCACCGCAAAATCAGCACAGGATGTCCTTGGTCTGCAGTAACGAGACAAGCACCAGTGAAATGCAGTGAAACACCGTGAATTTCTGGAGCAAGCGCTCGTTTCAAGAAGGGACACTGTGGGAAGTGGGAACCGCTGATGTTTCTTGACTTGATTTTGGCAACCGCTGTGTCCAATTCTGTTATCATATCATGTTGTCGTTCGAGGAAATGGTGGCCGCAAATCTGGGCTCCGTTGGTTGGTGTCGGGCTTCGTCGATGTCATGTCAAGTGCGCTGAAGCTGCGCTGGACGAGGCTGCGTCGGCACTGGAGCCAAAGTTTGGGCAGAGCCTCAGGGAGCTGCTGAAACACTCCAAGATGCTCAAACAACAAAAAGCACAATGTTTTTTCCCAAGTTGTTTTCAATTATTTTAACATGCTCAACATATTCACAATAGCACCATATGCACAGTGTTGCAGATGATTTTTAAAACACTTTTCAACGTATTCGACGTATTGCTCAGAGTGAGCGACAGACTGTTACTGATGTTACTGTGAGAGTCGTGAGTTACGATGTCATGAGGCACAAGGTTTCAAACGGGTTCGTTTCGGTGTGAAGGGACCGAACTATGCAGGATATAATCCTTAGTTCTTTTTCCTTGGCTGACATCCCTGTCTGACACCAGCGAGAGACAAAGGAGTGCATTGTATGCTCAGAAGCCAGCGGGGCGTATGAGCAAAGAAGAGGAGAGAGTGAGCAAACTTGCACTGGAAGGGATCCTCGTTTGCTCAGCAGGGGTTGTGGGTCTGGTCACCCAAGTTAGTTACAGTTATATAGTTGGCAAGCTTCTGACAGGATGGACGCAGGAATCGACAATTCAGATACTGTAATATGATGGTAATATGATCAACTTTCTTTGCGTATGTGCACAGTGGCAATGATTGAATATTTGAAACGGACAGTGAAGTTCTCTGATTGGTACAGTGCTTGCTTCGTACTTACTTATACTTGCTTGCTTCGTATCCTTATTTGATGTTCTGCAGCTCATATTACTAAACCATATGAAACTATTTCCAATGCCATCCCCATCCATTGATTGCGCGCAAATCTGCGGCAAAGGAACATTCCTTCCTGGCCTTTCCAAGCCCTAGCACCGGTGCCCATGGCGCTCTTTCACCTGGCCGGTGTGCTGGAATTGCGGCTCTCCGGGTCTTTTGCAAAAAGTGGACTGTACACAGCACAGGTTTTTGACTGTGAATGGTCTAGAATAGCGTCTAGAAATGTCTAGAATGTCTTGAGTCTAGAACTTCACTTTCAAAAGCTTTCCGATCAGATTGTTGGCCAAAACAAATTTGCGGTGTTCTGTTTTTCTGTGTCCGGTGCGGATGTATATTTTGAGGGAGTCTTGCAGCTTTTATTTTGATTGGCGCCGCCCTCAGGTCTTGCAATCTTTATGAACTTCCGCTGGAAATTGGTGGATGCCAGCACTTGGAGACACTGAGCTTGATCGGCAACAGCCTGTCAGCTATCCCTGCAGAATTGGGCATGCTCACAGAACTTCGCTATCTCTACCTGCGCCTCAGCCATTGAACTTCCAATGGACTTTATTCACGTAGACATACTCCACAGCTTTCAGACGACTGAAAGGTGGTTTAAATGTAGTGATTATGTAGTTGTAATAATCACTCTTACCTCTTGAGTTCGCGGTACTATTTCTATCTATTTCTGATTCTAGATGTGGACCACATTTATTGCATTCGACATCATTCGACTGAAGGAATGGCAACTTCCTTCGAAGTCTTCCCGAAGCAGTTTGCGACCTGCCAAAGTTGCAGGAGACGCTTTGGTGCGAAACAGTGCAAAGCAATGGTTGTTTGGTCTTTTAGGTTGGGTGTGTCAAAAAGTGTACGATTTGACCGCAGGCACTGCAATCGTCATACTTCGAGAATCAGAGAATCAGATAATTACTGGCGATCATTTTCACTTGTTTGTTTTTGGTCACTGCCTTGTTAAGTGTGGCATTTGAACCCGTGCTCTAAGTGAGACTAAGGATATGTTTAGATGCAAATTGCCTGGAAGAAGCACCGCGTTTTTCTTCAACCGCGCTTGATTTGTACACAGCGCCGGGCAACAAGTTTCCGGACGTTGCTTTCTCGCACCACTTCGAGAGGTTGGAAGTCCATGGCAACCAGATCCGGAACACTGGCCTGGAACTGAAACACTGAAAATTCATGAAATTTATACATTATATAATATGTAGTATTATATATATAGTATAAAACATGTATAACAACATACGGTAATACAAGATTATACCATTATAATCTATATAGTATACAAATGCATATAATATAGTATTTTAATATGGAATAACTTATGGATTGCATACGGAATAATATGACATACACGACATCAGATGCTTCAGCAATCACCAGCACGTTTGCAACCTGAAAAGTTCACAGTTGAAGGAAGTCGGGACTCGTAGGATCCCGTAGGGTGATTTCAAGTGGCTTTGGTGCATCGTGTTTGGATGTGTTTGGTGTATTTTGGTAATTGGATTCAATTGGTTTTTGTTGGTTCTCTTTTTTCTCCTGTTTGCGAGGACATATAGGACATGAGAATATACATGTATACATACATATATATATATACACTGTAATACAGAGCGATAGACGATGAACATGATGAATATGGGGGAATTTGAATATCAACATCGCTACGTGCTGCATTTTTGTGCGCACCCCTCAACAACGAAATTCAACAAATTCAACCAAACCGAGGAACATCATTCCGCTGAACCCCGGCATTCCTTCCCAGTTGGTCACGTTGAAGGCAGACAGATCCCGTCCAACGGGGCCTTGCAGGAATTTGCAGAATATGGGAAATGTGGAGCTTGAGATAGTAGACAAGGTTTGCTGTGCAACCTCGAAAACAGTCGACCTAGAAATTCTATGCAATTATGCAATTCTACTGCTGTCCTTGGGTAAAAACGGCTACCACAGGTGATGGGCAATCAGCTCACAGAGCTGCCGGAAGAGGCTCAGCGATGACTCGATGACGGGTGACTTGTGCTATTTCAAGATGGATAATTATATTTATATGTTATTATTATTATATATTATTATTATTGTATATTATTATTATTATATATTATTATTATATATATATTATTATTGTTATTATTATTATATATTATTATTATATATTATTATTATTATTTATTATTATTATTATATATTATTATTATATATTATTATTATTTTTATATATCATTATTATTATATATCATTATTATTATTATTAAATATCATTATTATTATTATCATTATTATTATTATTGTTATTATTATATATTATTATTATTATATATTAGTATTATATATTATTATTATTTTTATATATCATTATTATTATATATTATTATTATATATTATTATTATATATTATATATTATTATTATATATTATATATTATTATTATTATATATTATTATTATTATATATCATTATTATTATTTTTATTATTATTATATATTATTATTATTATATATTATTATTATATATTATTATTATTATTATATATTATTATTATTATATATTATTATTATTTTTATATATCATTATTATTATATATTATTATTATTATATATTATTTTTATTATTATAATATATTATAATATATTATTATATATTATTATTATTATTATATATTATTATCATTATTATATATTATTATTATATATCATTCTTATTATTATTTTTATTATTATATATTATTATTATTATTTTTATTATTATATATTATTATTATATATTATTATTATTATTTTTATTATTATTATATATTATTTTTATTATTATAATATATTATAATATATTATTATATATTATTATTATTATTATTATATATTATTATCATTATTATATATTATTATTATATATCATTCTTATTATTATTTTTATTATTATATATTATTATTATTATTTTTATTATTATATATTATTATTATATATTATTATTATTATTTTTATATATCATTATTATTATTATATATTATTATTATTATCATTATTATATATTATTATTATTAATATATATTATTATTATATATCATTATTATTATTATATATTATTATTATTATTATATATTATTATTATTATATATCAGTATTATTATTTTTATTATTATTATATATTATTATTATTAAAATATATTATAATATATTATTATATATTATTATTATTATATATCATTATTATTATTATCATTATTATATATTATTATTATTATCATTATTATTATTATTTTTATTATTATATATTATTATTATTATATATTATTATTTTTATTATAATATATTATTATTATTTTTATATATCATTATTATTATTATATATTATTATTATTATCATTATTATTATTATAATATATTATTATTATTATTATATTATTATTATTATATATTATTATTATATATCATTATTATTATTATATATTATTACTATTATTATTATTATATATTATTATTATATTATTATTATTACTATTATATATTATTATTCTTATTATTATATTATACTATATATATATATGTGTGTGTTGACTTTGTTGAAGTTCATTGAAGTTCCAATGTGTGGTACTCACACTGTGTGAGGGCGCCAACGGCAGCCATGTTTCACAAATCAGTTATGTGCAATGCTCGCAGGTGGCTTTAATGCCCTTTCTTCGGATCCTGTCCGTAGCCACCAACCGTGCCAACACTCAGAACCTAATAACCTAGTAGATCTAGTAGCAAGATATAGCTAATCAACATGCACCGAGGGGCTCCAACAAACATGGCTTTCGCAGGTCACCAGAATGTTTGCAACGGACATTTAAGCTTGTCAATTAGTTAGACTAGACCATGTTGGATTGGATTACTGGGTTTCAGATGATTTTTGGAATATATATATATATAGTTTGAAACAGCTGAGACAGCAGATGGGCGACTGCCAAGTGACCCTCAGCAAAGCGAAAGGACCTCATATCTTAAATGATCTTATATGATTTTTCCTCTGATCGCTTGTGTCTTTTGATTTTTCTTGTGTGAGTCAAGGCCTTCGCTCGCTCCCCAAAGGGCTTTCTCAACTGCATGGTGTGCCTCTCAGCATGTCCAGCCTTGTGGCTTGCAAACCCTGGATAGCCTGGGTGCGCCTGGTTTAGGGCTGTAACATCTGTAACCAATGGGCTGAACTTGTCCTCTTCACTTCTGGGTACCACTCTGTGCCACTCTGTGACGGGCCTTCCTGGACCTGAGAAGATTACAGTTACTACAGACTATAGTCAGACTATTACAGATGATTGACATTGATTGACAATATACATATAATTGAGTAAGATTGACATTTATATACATTGGTTTAAGATTTAAATAATGAATAAGATTGATGATTGACGCATGTTGTGTTTTCTTTAGCTGGCCGCTGACGCCAGAACTCGAATGGCTTTTGGCATATGAGCCCAAACCTCAGACCATTGGATACACATGATGCAATCTTTGAAGCGGAGGGGAAACAAAATGAAACCAAGCTAATTACACAAAATATTAACAAATCAACAAGTCAAGATCCAGAAAGAATGGTTGGGGCCGTGCCATTCAAATGCCGGTTTTCACAAAAGTAAAATTACACGCACACACACAATATACATATTAAACTTGTGCTGCATTGCTACATGGCACTTCCTCAGTTAACAATCTATGCCAGGAATAGCAACGGCATAGCAAAGGCATGGAGCTCACGGCTCACACCGAGGAATTGCATCACGGACTTGCCCGCAAATCTGGGACCTGGTTGGGGGCTCAAGACAATTCAAGACAATTCAAGATAATTCAAGACATCCCTAGAAATCTCAGTAGACATCTCAAGACATCTGAAGACATGTAACCAAAAGGCCAAAAGGCTGGCTCGCTCCTTGTTCAAGAGGACACACGACACCAGCCACAGTTTGTGGCAGTCTCAAGAAGACACATTTGATAGAAAGCGAGCCAGAGTTCTTCGACTAGCAGGGCGGGGTGGCATGCAAAAGGAGTGTCCTAGATCGGCGTGGATCAACCTGTTATGTTGGACCGTTGAATCACTGCAATGAGGTTGCTGGACTTTGACACGGCTCTTGCTGGAGTCTAATCCATTGACACCAACAGCATTGGCTGAGTTGATCTCCGATTTGAGCAGGATCCGCGTTTGAATTCCCACAAGTTCAAAGCTTGACATGCGAAGTTGATGACACATTCACAAAGACACACATGGAATCACATGGATTGCTCGCAGCCCCAGAGAGCCAGGTTTGAGAACAAAGGAGCTAGAGAATTAGCAATGAAGTTCCCAAGCAGCAGCAGACAGGTAAATCAAATGATAGCCACAAAATGCTCATACCAGTAGTACCGCACAAGGCGGTGGCGGAAGTTTCAGAAATAGGAAGCCTATAGGAGAGGTTGGTCGTTGTGAATCACGGATGGCAGAGCGAATCCACTGATGGTCTGAAAGGTGGTTGGAGCTGTGTTTTTTGGAATGGTTGCAATGTTTGCAGTGGTCACCTCACCACAACTGCTGGATGTAGTGTGGTGTAGTGCAGTTGTAGTTGTAGTCGTAGTTGTAGTGTACTGTAGTGAAGCTGTAGTTGTAATGTTGTGTAATTAGTGTAGTGTAGTTGCAGTTGTAGTTGTCGTGGTGTGGTGTAATTAGCGTAGTGTATTGTAGTGTACTGTAGTGTTGTGTACTGTAGTTTGGTATAGTGTAGTGTAGTCTAGTGTAGTGTAATGTAAGGTAGCGTAGTTGTAGTTGTAGTGTAGTGCAGGGCAATTAGCGTAGCGTCGTGTAGTGCAACCTAGTGATAGTTGCAATTGTAGTTGTAGCTGTAGTGTAATGTGATGTAATTAGTAATTAGTGTAGTGTAATGTAGCATAGTTTATTTGCATGTGCAGTTGTAGTAGTAGTGTCGTGTAGTTGTAGTAGTAGTAGTAGTTGTCTGTCTGGCTGGCTGGCTGTCTGGCTGTCTGGCTGTCTGGCTGTCTGGCTGTCTGGCTGCCTGGCTGCCTGGCTGCCTGGCTGCCTGGCTGCCTGGCTGCCTGGCTGCCTGGCTGCCTGGCTGCCTGGCTGCCTGGCTGCCTGCCTGCCTGCCTGGCTGCCTGCCTGTCTGTCTGTCTGTCTGTCTATCTTTCTATATATATCTCTCTCTCTCTATTTCTCTCTCTCTCTCTCTATCTCTCTCTCTCTATCTACCTACCTACCTACCTACCTATCTATCTATCTATCTATCTGTCTATCTGTCTATCTGTCTATCTGTCTATCTGTCTATCTGTCTATCTGTCTATCTGTCTATCTGTCTATCTGGCTATCTGTCTATCTGTCTATCTGTCTATCTATCTATCTGTCTATCTGTCTATCTGTCTATCTGTCTATCTGTCTATCTATCTATCTATCTATATATCTATCTATCTATCTATCTATCTGTCTAGCTGCAATCTGCAAGCTTGAAAACGAAGCAATTCTGCGAGACTTCTTCATTTTTCGAAGTTGACAACATCAAAAACGCAATGCGTCTTGCAATTTGTCCAATCCATTTGTCTAAACGATTGCGGCTGCCACGAAAAAATGATGCCAGGTCATACAAACTGCTGCATTTGTCAATGGCGCCTGCCACGAAAAATTCATCTTTGCAGATCCTCTTCGAATGCCCCACGCCTGCCATCGTTTTTGGAAATGCTAAAAACTCTCACGTTTTGCTCACTTCTGACACGGTGCACAATCCCTTGCGCCTGCCACGCGAAACGACATCTGAACGTCAAAAAGTGGTCCGGGCATGTGGTGTTTTTAACATTTTTACTTTGAAATGTGCTTCGCGCCACAACGGCGTGCATTTTTTCAACATCTCAACTTCCAAAAGTGGTCCGAACGTGGTGTGGGTTTTGTACATTTTGACTTCGAAATGTGCTTCGCACCACAACGGCGTGCAATTTGTCATCTCTCATCTGCCTAGCTGGCTCCGCACCCGCCGCTTTAGCGAGCCTACTTTTCGACCTCCGGAGCCACAAATCAGCGGAAAAACGCAGTGTTTCGTGACTTTCCTACCTTTTCGCGCACCTGGATCTTCTTTCTTCTGAGAATTTTTCTGTCTTTTTCTCTTGTCTTCTCTGACTCTTCCCATCTCTGCTTTTCATCTGTCCATATTGTCGGAAGTTTGACTTCTAAACTTCCTTCGACTGGTGCAAAAGGTAATATTACATACAAACCTTATATCCTAGAATGGTCTAGAATGTGCATAGATATGCATGCAGAGAGAGATTCCTAGGCTATCTACAGTATACCAAAGCCTCTATGCTGTAGTTGTATTGTGGCAATTGCAAATGTGCGCGCGCCCATATCACACGCAGGGATATAATATATATATATGATATGTAGATAAGATATATATATATAAATGAGATGTATATACATATGTGTGTGTGAAACATCTGAATAGATGTAAAACTTCTACTTGATTTGCAGCAGGGGGGCAGTGCACGACTGACAGACACTGCCCAACGAAGACACTGTCAGTTCGTGGTGATACAGAGCCTGATCAGCTCTGCGTACCTGCATCGTGTTATCATTTCTCTGAATGGCAACCGGCCAAGCCAAGAACCGGCACGTCGAATTTTCCACAAATTTCACTTTTTGAAACGAAACTCCATGTGCTGTTACTTCATTGAATGTACAGTTGCCGCAATCTGCCATACTTTGACAATGGAAACTTTTCGATGCCTTCTCGGGTCCTTTCATCAACCCATTCCTGTCAGGTATAACTGGAGTGCTTTTGCAAGTAAGATGCATTCCACATCAGAATTCGAAAAGATTGTTCTGAGCAAGTGTGTGATTCATGCTGGCATGAACCCTTCGGGGAAGGAGAGCAAATCCCCGACCTGATCTCTGAATTTACATTTTTCAACCTAGTAATTCGTCTAAGTAAAGTGAAACAGCCGGCCTTCTTTCATGGTCTCACTTGTCGCCGTCGTTCTGTGTTGAAACAACTTCCCGCTGTCTCTGGGAATCACCTTTTCATTGACTTGCCGGGGTTTGTAGCTGTCAGCTGCGCCAACAACTTTTTTCGATATTGCTCGAGCAAGTTCAGCTGTCGACAATTGCAACACAAGGATTCCAGGCACAGGCCACGCTTGCAGGTATGGTGATTCTTCTTTTTTGGTCGTCGGTACGGTTCAAATGCGCACGTAATTCGAGGGTTGACCACTTAATAAGCCGTTTACAGGGTTGTGACTTGACTGCGGAGGGCCTTTGAGCCTTATCACGACATTGGCATGACTTGTGGATGCATCAAATCTCATCAACTAGTTCCCCATTGGTCCCCTATCTCATGCGTGCTCCCTCTCTAGGTCAGGTTTGGGTCCTTCGCGTGCCGAGGTAGGTTTTGGCTCTCGCCTTGTAGGTTGTGTCAGGCGCTTCTGTCCGCCCCCCCCCTCCTCTGGTTGGCGTTTGGCCCGGCGTCCGTCCGCTTTTTCTTTTCCCTTGCCCTTTCAGGGTTTGCCCATTTTGGGCTAGGTGTGTTGGTGTTGGTGGTTTCCCTTTTTCCTTTCCTTTTTTGCGTTCTCCCTATTGTGTTCCGGTTAAGTAATTGTCATTGTCATTTTCATCTTCATCTCATTTCCTTTTTCCTTTCATTTTCACCTTCACCTCACTTGCCGGAGCCTTAAAAAGCCCCGCGGCAGCGGGGCGTGTGTGTGAAACATCTGAATAGATGTAAAACTTCTACTTGATTTGCAGCAGGGGGGCAGTGCACGACTGACAGACACTGCCCAACGAAGACACTGTCAGTTCGTGGTGATACAGAGCCTGATCAGCTCTGCGTACCTGCATCGTGTTATCATTTCTCTGAATGGTAACCGGCCAAGCCAAGAACCGGCAGGTCGAATTTTCCACAAATTTCACTTTTTGAAACGAAACTCCATGTGCTGTTACTTCATTGAATGTACAGTTGCCGCAATCTGCCTTACTTTGACAATGGAAACTTTTCGATACCTTCTCGGGTCCTTTCATCAACCCATTCCTGTCAGGTATAACTGGGGTGTTTTTGCAAGTAAGATGCATTCCACATCAGAATTCGAAAAGATTGTTCTGAGCAAGTGTGTGTCTGTCATAGTGTTGAAAGGCTGTGAAGGTGTGGTAGTACTGTCGGATGCCTAAGCGGTCGACAGTCACCTGGCAGGTTACAAAACTGAAAAAACCGGGCAAGGGCACGATGGCTCTCCAGAATGGGACCCCTTTCAAAGGTCCCCGTTTGGAGGCCACCATCGTTTCCCTTCCCTGTGCTGAGGAAGGGAGGTGCCGCAGATGCAACACCGAAACTGTACAGCCTTCCTAGCTGTGCTTCGAAACTTGACCCAGATCATCTGTACTTCGATCTTCGCCCGGGAAACCGATGGCATCAAAACAACAAAGCAACACCCACAAACACCACGTCAGGGTTTCCCCTGCAAAGTCCTACGGACTGGGCTGGCAGGCCTGTGGTCGGAGCCATCAAGTGAGCTGCCACGGGGTCATCACATAGGAAACGTAGTGCATGCCAGAAAACTACCGTTGAGCGAAGAATCGGATCTAGGTCAAGCTGAAAAACAACTTGCGTGAAGCCAGCGACTATCCGCCCCTTTTAGGGCATTGCACCGGCTAAACTGTTCTATACAACCTGCGACAAGGAGGTTATTGACCAAACCGAGGTAAGGTCGTTCCACTCTCTGCCCCCCTGTCGTGGACCGAAAGCGAACTCAAAAAAAAGTGTTGCAATTGAATTTGATCCGTTAGCCGCACAAAAAAAATTACTCCGTCTATGACTTGATCGTGCGTTACTCCCAGGCCCTCGGAGTAGTGTTGAAAGGCTTAACCATGGATTTTTCGCACCAAATCAAACCTAGAACATGTAAAGTGGTAGCACGTGGGGAGGACCTGTAGAGATCTGTAGAGCCTCACCGGTCGACTCACAGATGAATATAGAAACATGCATGTTCTTTGGCTCTCACCCTCCCTGTCACATCCTGTCACATCAATAGTTTGTCAGGAACTCCAAATCTGTATTTGTTTGATTTTGTTTGTACTTGATGTTTTTTCTTTCCAAAGGGTCAGCGAGGGTTCAGATATGTTCAGACAAGATGTTGCTTTTGTTGCCTTGCCTCCCATGATTGTGATAGTTACTTGTAGTAGATGTTAGTAGTTAGGGGTGTGAGGTTCCCCGTTCCTAAACGGCGAGAATATCACTGTGTTTTCTCAGCATGCTGGGCTTGGATCGCAGCCATTGTAGCCAGGAGCCGGATCAAAACACTGGGCCTTGACACCAGCCAAGCAGCTGGACAGCATTCGACACGGTCATGGCCACCATATTTGCACTGAGCAAGTCGTGCGAGTCATACGCATCATACGAGTCATACTTAAACTATCCCGGATTCCGCGGTAGTCTCCCCAGCCCCAGTGGTATCCATCATTGTCCATCTCATTTCAAAAAATATGTCTGAGGTTTCAATGGCTGTTGAAGCTTTGCCCAACTGGGCCCGGGGGCCAAAGTTGTGGGGTATATGGTGGAGATGAGAGGGTGGGCGTTATGAGTCGCTGACCTACCCAGTACAAAAAACAATGTATACCAACAGAGTTTCAAGAGACTCTTGAAAGATCTTGCAAATTCAAAAGGGCGAGCAGTTGTTCCACTCGCCGTACTGAACCAAAGTCCTACCAAACAAGGCGAATGAATCTGCACATCCCTTACCATCCAATGCTTGAAGTGCTAGACTATGCTGGACGGCAAAATGACAAATATTGAAAACTTATGAAATGTCTTTGCAACTAGGACCTTCCACTGTCTTGACACCGCAGGAGCCGTTGCCATCAGCGGTGTCAGTGGGCACTGTACCGGGCTGAGCATTCTGAGATATTCTAAGAATGCTAGCAGCTAGAAGCTCCATGCAGCTGCTATATATTATAGAACTTATATAGATCTATCGTGATCTACTATATAGCTTCCGGTTGTATGTTGATTGGGCCAGGTCGCCACCTGCAGCGAGAAAGCATCAAAAGATATCAAAAATCAAAAGCATGCAAAAGTAGCAAGAGCCCACAACAAATTCAGGGGAGTTCCATTCGAAGGCGGAGCCCAATGAGTACAAAGTATATGATGTATGTATACACACGCACACAATATATGTATATATCGTATATATATATATTATATCTCTATATCAATAATATAGAGGACAAAAGAGTAACAACATGTACTGCCAATGATAAATATTGATAGGGTATCATTCTTCCCCAGTACTTATTTTTTTGTCTCGCTTGGAGGCACTTAAACCAGAACTGTTTAGAAGAGGCTTTCCAGGCTCCTTCCAGCGCTGGGCGTTGGATTTTGGCTCTGCATGCCCGAGCATGTTCAGATTCAGGGTCGTTTTGTCAGCGGATATAAATACTGATAAATATCTTCTCTCAGGTACTTCCCATCAGTGGCTGCAGCCAAATCAGCTTGAAGTTGACCAGGGCCTCTCAGTTGAGAAGGCGTTCTAAGGGTTGGTGATGCGCTGCAGAGCCGGACCATGGAAGAATAAATATTTCTTCAGATGCCTGCTGCCCGCTTTCTATGTGCATTTGCCATGCCCTCTAGCCTCTAGTCGTTAGCTCACTACTTTGTCAGGCCATGCTTTGATATACTTCAGCCGTCAAGACTCACGAACAATGTTGTATCATGTTGTATCATTTTATTGGTGGGATGAGAGTGAACTGGAGGAAGTATTAAAGATTTCAAAGTAATTCAATTTCCCACCAGACTGCTTTGGGACTTCCTTTCTATTGACTCCACTAATTAACATCCAACATTGTTCTGAACTGTACAGCATGGTGGCGCACTCTTACCGATGCTTCTGCGCCAGGGACGGCATTCGCTCTGTGGCAGAGCCTATGGGGCCACCAGACCCTGTGACCCAACCAGCCGCGTTGCTCATTGTGGCCTTTGGAGCCTCACAGGCAGAGAAAAATCAAAAGATGGTGAAAGATGGTGAAAGATGGTGAAAGATGGTGAAAGATGGTGAAAGATGGTGAAAGATGGTGAAAGACAAATACTTTCTAGCCCAAACTCTCTAGGTGTGGTGAAAGATGGTGAATGTGTTTCAGGGCAATGCAAGAATTTCAATGCGACGGCCACGTTGCCCGAAGGCTTTCAAACTATTTTTCCCACCACTTCTGACCACCTCTGACTCATTCGACTCATTCGACCCCGCACTTTGCACGAATTGCACGTCAGACGCCCAGGGCGAGCCAGAGTGGCTGGGCTTTTTGCGTCGCCTTTTGGAACTCGGCGAGGTGCCAATGTGACAAAGAACATCAAAGAACATCAAAGACTTTTTCAAATCCAAGTATTGTTTGTTTGTTTGTTTGTTTGTTTGTTTGTAGCCCGATTGAATCCACTTGAGCGTCTTGGTGTTGGATGTTGATCATGGATGCTCGTGGATGTTCATGAAGCAGAGGAATCTCATTTTAGACATTTGGATACATTTGTTTGATCTTTGGAGTGGGCCTGCTTAGGGCAATTAAAGAGGCTTAGGAGGCAACCAGCAACCGTTTGCAGACTCTTTAAATCCTTTATAAATAATCTATATATAATCCTTTAATGTCAGTTTTAATATCTTTTAATCTGTTAAACTTCAGAAACATTGGTGAGCCTCATCAGCCTCGTTACCCAGTTGCATATGTTGCATTCAAAGTGTGTGGCAGCGTTGAAGCCGCTGTCAGGTGAAGCCCTGTGGCGAAACCGAGGGCAGCCTTGATGAGCTACTGAAGGAAAGCCTTGACTGACCGCCAAGGGCCAGAGAGCACATATCAATGTAAGTATGTATATATTTGGATATATTGGGATATATTGGGAGATATTATATTGGGTATGTGATGTATGTATATGTATCATTATGATTCATAATGAATATGTAATGTATGTTGTAAGGATTGTAAGGTCAGCAGAGGGCCAGGGGAAAGCATTGGAAATACCCACTTCTGTGGAAGAGGGGCGGTCAGTCGCAAGAGTTGACAGCAAGTCTACATAAAATGCAACACCAAAACGGGCAAGGCGAGCTTAAATTGTTTGAGGACATGTTGGGACTTACCTCAGATTGTGCTTGGGTCACTCTTGTGGTGGCCACATGTGGCCACTACCGTCACGATATGTTTTGAGATGTTTTGAGTTTGGGGAAGACACAAAGCGCTCAAAAGGGCTTAAAAGGGCGCAACAGGTCTCAACACTTTGTTTTTTGAGTCTCGGCATCAAGAGATGCTGTTGAAACATGTTGAAACATGTTGAGACGGACGTGTTGGGCACAAAAGAAACGCACCGCTTCTGCAGGATGCTGACTCTGATTTTGACGCCAGGATGTCAAGGCTCGGAAACTTTCAGGGGTTTTGTGTATCTGAGGCGTTGATCAGCGTTGATCATCGTTCATCGGCATCAATGATGTCGGCAGCTACAAGTAGTACCGGGCAAGCCGGGGGCCGGAAGTTTCAAATTTGAAACGCTTATAGCCTTAGCCTATAGAGCGGAGCAAAGGCTGTGCCTATAGGTGACAGGCAAGCCTCCTGTGCTTCGTGGCAACAGGCTCTTGACTTGTCAATCTGATGCCATGTCTTTCGAATGTTGAATCTTTTCTCATTTCATCTGATCTCATCGCGTCGCAGCTTCTCTTGGAAATTGCTCACTGCATCTCACTGTCACCGCAGTCTGTGTCATCCAATCTCCTCATCTCAACTCTTATCATGTCTTCTGAGTTTTTTCAGCTCATCTCAGCTCTTCGCAGCTCATGTCGTCTTATCTCAGCGCATTTGATGTTATTTCATTTTCTTCGAAATCAACTTGCTCTCTTGTGGTATTTCGTGGTTGTTCATCTCATGTCAAAACATTTGATCTCTCATCAGTTTTTCTTACACTTGCCATTCAGTCTCTTTCCCAAACCCAACAAGACACCGCAGCAGCTTTTTCCATGCATACGACACGAAAAGTTCAGAGTAGTCGTTAGCGCGGTCTCTGATCCGTGGGTGCGTTGGGATACACACAGCAAGCCTTCACGCAGCGAAGCTCCTAATTACACAGAAAGGCTTCTACGCAGCAAAGCTTTTACACACAGCAAGCTTTCACACAGAGAATCCTTTACACACAGAAGCTTTTACACACAGCAAACTTTTACACACGGCCAGCTTTTATACAGAGCAAGCTTACGCAGAGAAGCTTTCACACAGAGAAGCTTTTACACACAGAAGCCTTTACACACAGGCAGCTTTTACACAGAGAGGCTTTTACACAAAGTTAGGGAAGCTTTTATTCACAGAAAGCTTTTACACAGAGCAGACTTATACACAGAGAAGCCCATACACAGAGAAGCATTTGCACACAGAAGCTTTTACACACCGACACTTTTACACACCGACACTTTTACACACAGAAACTTTTACACACAGCAAACTTTCACACACAGAAGTTTTTACACAGAAGAGCTTTTCCGCGCAGAAGCTTTTATACACACAGTAAGCTTTCACACAGAGAAGCCTTAACACAGAGAAGCGTGTACACAGAGGAGCTTTTACACACAGCAAACTTTTACACAGAGAAGATTTCACACAAAGAACCATTTACACAGAGAAGCTTTTACACAGAGAAGCTTTTACACGCAGCCAGCTCTCACATAGAGAAGCCCTAACACAGAGAAGCAGAAGCTTTTACGCAGAAGCTTTTACACGCAGCCAGCTTTCACATAGAGAAGCCCTAACACAGAGAGGCATTTACTCAGAGAAGCTTTTACACACGGAAACTTTTACAGAGAGCAAACTTTTACACACGGCCAGCTATTTTACAAAGCAAGCTTACACAGAGAAGCTTTCACACAGAGAAGCTTTTACACACAGAAGTCTTTACACACAGCCAGCTTTTACACAGAGAAGCTTTTACACAAAGTTAGGGAAGCTTTTATTCACAGAAAGCTTTTACACAGAGCAGACTTTTACACAGAGAAGCCCATACACAGAGAAGCATTTACGCACAGAAGCTTTTACACACCGCCACCTTTTACACACGGAAACTTTTACACACAGCAAACTTTCACACACAGAAGTTTTTACACAGAAGAGCTTTTGCGCGCAGAAGCTTTTATACACACAGTAAGCTTTCACACAGAGAAGCCTTAACACAGAGAAGCGTGTACACAGAGGAGCTTTTACACACAGCAAACTTTTACACGGAGAAGCTTTTACACAATGAAGAACCATTTACACAGAGAAGCTTTTACACAGAAGCTTTTACACGCAGCCAGCTTTCACATAGAGAAGCCCTAACACAGAGAAGCAGAAGCTTTTACGCAGAAGCTTTTACACGCAGCCAGCTTTCACATAGAGAAGCCCTAACACAGAGAAGCATTTACTCAGAGAAGCTTTTACACACGGAAACTTTTACACAGAGCTAGCTTTTACACAGAGAAGATTTTACACCGAGAAGCCCTTGCACAGAGAAGCATTTACACAAAGAAACCTTTACACAGAGAAGCCCTTGCACAGAGAAGCATTTATATACACAGAGAAGCTTTCACACACAGAAGCATTTGCACAGAGAAGCATTTACTCAGAGAAGCTTTTACACACGGAAACTTTTACACAGAGCAAACTTTTACACACAGCAAGCTTTTGCATTGAGAAAATCCGCTAACAAATCACTATCGCATCCTTGATGCAGCCACTACAATGCGATTTACGATGTCCAGCTGCAAAAAGACAATAGATTGCGTACGCAGCCGCTGCGCGCAACCTCGACGCAGCCATTACAATAAGATTTGCAGAGACCGAGTTGCAAAGCACAATAGAACTACGCGCAACGGCGTCAGAAATTGCAGCTCCAAAACCAGATCTCGACGCTAAAGCAAAAAAAGGACGATTTTATCCTCCCCCTTCAATCCTGGAATATTTGGTGGGGTAAGGCAAGAAAATTTTGAGAAATATTTCACCCAACCGCGCGAAATATCCACCCCCCTACGTATTTTTTAGGCTTCCAAAAGAGGTGGGTGTGGGTCCTCCGGATGTCAGATTTTAGCCCTGGTCTTTGAAGATTCTCAGAAACGGAAAGGATCCTACTGCTGCAATGGAATTTCTGGGGGGGTGGCTTCTAGAGTTTCTACTGTAGAGCTTTTGTACCTCCCCCCCTCAAAAATTTCTCAGGCAAAGCTAGGGGAAAGAAAAAAAACATGGAAATGTGGGCTTCAGCTGGTTTGCACGCACCTGACCACATCCACCGGTGCTCGTTGATGCACAATTAACAGCGCTATAATCAACAGCGCTATAAGATTTTCCATTGCCTTATTCTACCGTATACCAGATTTTTTTAGCTGAAATATTTCTGGGTGGGGAGGTGGTGGTAACACCCCCCAAAAGTGAAATATTTCAGTGAAAGGAAGGGTGATATACGATTTTGGAGCACCTTTTAAAAGGAACTTTAAAAAGGAAAATCACCAGCGCCAAAATTAAAAAAATCTGCTGACAAATCATTATCGCAGCCTTGATGCAGCCACTCAAATACGGTTTACGATGTCTAGCTGCAAAAGACAATAGTACTACGCACATAGCCGCGGCTCCAAGAAACCTCGACGCAGCCACTACAATGCAATCTGCAGACCGAGTTGCAAAGCACAATAGAAATTGCAGCTCCAAAACGCATTTCGTGCAAGACTTGCCTGAAAAAGTGAAAGTGGAAGATGTGAAAACGAAGCTTTCGCGCGAGACATCCCTCAAAATCTGAAAGTGGAAGATGTGAAAATGAAGCGTTCGTGCAAGACTTGCCTGAAAAAGTGAAAGTGGAAGATGTGAAAACGAAGCTTTCGCGCGAGACATCCCTCAAAATCTGAAAGTGGAAGATGTGAAAATGAAGCGTTCGTGCGAGACTTCGCTCAAAATCTGAAAGTGGAAGATGTGGAAACGAAGCTTTCGTGCAAGACATCCATCAAAAAAGTGAAAGTGGAAGATGTGAAAACGAAGCTTTCGTGCAAGACATCCTTCAAATTTTTTGAAAGGCCAAGTGGTGAAAATGAAACCTGAACTCGCAGTTCCACTGCGGGGCCGATCCGAGAATGATCCCGGTTCAAACGAACGTGTTCCGAAGCCGTTCGCCGGACAAGCTTCCCCATCCATCTTCCGAGGCACATTTTGTCCTGCAAAACACAGCATTTGGTGCATCCACTATCTCTCAAAAACGCATTTCGTGCGAGAATTCCCTCAAAAAGTGAAAGTGGAAGATGTGATGACGAAGCTTTCGTGCGAGACATCCCTCCATAAAAAGTGAAAGTGGAAGATGTGAAAACAAGCTTTCGTGCAAGACATATTTCAAAAAGTGAAAGTGGAAGATGTGAAAACGAAGCTTTCGTGCGAGAATTCCTTCAAAAAGTGAAAATGGAAGATGTCAAAACGAAGCTTTCGTGCAAGACATCCCTTAATAAAAAGTGAAAGTGGAAGATGTGAAAACAAGCTTTCGCGCACGACATCTTTCGAAAAGTGAAAGTGGAAGATGTGAAAACGAAGCTTTCGTGCGAGAATTCCTTCAAAAAGTTAAAGTGGAAGATGTCAAAACGAAGCTTTCGTGCGAGACATGATGAGACATGTAATTGTGGTGATATTGTGAAAGTGCTGATTTAGTGAAAATGGTGATATAGTTGTAATATTGTGATGGTGCTGATGTTGTGATAGTGGTGACATTGTGATCGTGGTGATATTGTGATTATGGTGATATAGTGGTGATTTTGTGATAGTGGTGATATAGTGACTAATGTGATAGTGGCGATATTCTGAAAGTGGTTATATTCTGATAGTGATGGTGATATAGTGGTGAAATTGTGAAAGTGGTGATGCAATGGTGATATGCTTGTGATATCGTGTGATATAGTGGTGAAATTGTGAAAGTGGTGATGCAATGGTGATATGCTTGTGATATCTTGTGATATAGTGGTGATATTGTGAAAGTGGTGATATTGTAAAAATGGTGATATTGTGAAAGTGGTGATCGCGGTGATATTGTGATAGCGGTGATATTGTGATAGTGGTGATATTGTGATAGTGGTGATGTTGTGATAGTGGTGATTTTGTGATAATGGTGATATTGTGATAGTGGTGATTTTGTGATAGTGGTGATGTTGTGATAGTGATGATTTTGTGATAGTGGTGATGTTTTGATAGTGGTGGTATTGTGAATGTGGTGATGTTGTGATAGTGGTGATAGTGTGATAGTGATGATATTGATTTCTCAAAATCTGTTACGCGGAAAGGTGGATTTTCGAACTTCCTTTGACTAAACATATGCATCAATGCGTTGATTTGCTTAAACATATTTTAAATTTATAAACCAAACAAACTATGTTATTTGTGCTCGTGCGTCCAGCAGAGGTCTCACAACGTTTCCAAAGAAACTACGCAGCTATTGTCCAGCAGAATCCTTGCAAAGGCACCCCCCACTCACATGTACAGCAGTAGTTCTGAACAATTCCTCTCGTTGCAATGTGAACTCGTATTATTATATATAATGTGACATGTTTGGAAGTGCAAGTGGTGAGGCTAGTAAATGACTAGACTAGACATGACTAGACATTTTCACCATTTCCGTGCGCAAGCAACAGTAGGCAAGTCATTCGAATGGTTCCCAAGGGTAGGTGCTGCATGACCGCTTCTCGACAGCCCTTCTACATCCTTCCCAGAATCCGCAGTATCCTTTGCAGCCAATACTGTAAATCAATGCGAGACAACTCTGAGGTTATGGTCAAATTGCCCTCAAGATGCTTCCTCCGTGACTACGCAGGCATTGCATTTTGGGGCAGCAATTCGCATGACAATACAGGGAAATTGTATTTAATTAATGGATTTTCATTGTGTCGTGGGCTGAAGATGATGAAATATTTGGCATGCATTTGGATTCTTAAGGCACTTTCATTGTTGGGTCGGACTTTGTGAAGCATGAGTCATGAGGTCAGAACGACCCCATCAATCTCCCTGGAAGACTTCGATGTGTCGGGCGCTGCAGTCCTTGCTTTAACCACGTATATTTAACATTGTTTAACTGTAAAGTCCAGTTATGGAGCCATATGGAGCCCAAGACCGGGGGAAATCCATGGAAATCCAAGAGAGATGTCCAAGCCTTGGACTAACTGAGACTGTCAAAGTATGTCAAAGTACTGAACTTGGTTATCTTGATTCCCATGGCCTTTGGATGCCTTTAGCATGTGTGGTACAGGTGCTCAATTGATCTCGTCATGTCATTCTCTTTGAGGCTAACAGTTGTGGATCACCGGATGCGATGGTACAATGAAGACCGTGCTCGCCTCGGGGCCGCCTTAAGTTTTGTGTTTTGGGATGTTTTTGGTATTTTTTGGTGAGTGGCTTTAGGTACGAAATGACACGAACTGCAAAAACGAACAGTCTGGCCATGTCCCGCTCTCCATTCTTGACCTCTTGCCAAGGCCCAGCTCTGGAGAAAGTCTTGAAGGATCTTCGCCCAAAGTATTCGAAGATGTTATTTGTGCGCTCGCCAGCGGATTGAGTTGTGAGGTGCATATGATATCATGTGATTGCATATTAGTCACATAAGCAGAGCAGAGCTTTGCAAAGCTTACAGAGCTATGCGCAGCTGTCCCATGCTGCTCGGTGCTCCATTGAACACATCGAACATGGACCATTGAAATTTCCGCATGCGCGATGCGTTTGTGTTGGATGGATTTCTTTCGATTTTTTTTCTGCTACAAATGCTGTCAGGTCGGAGCTTCCATGGGTGGCTTCGGAGTTGCTTGGCTAAGCGGCTAAGGTATGCCAGGTACATCCAGGTACGCGATTCACAGATCATTGGAGGTTTGGAAGAATGGCACGGTAGCACGAATGTTCTGCATGTGCTCACGTGCCCACATTCAAGAAACGCAGATCAATCAAAATCGGACAGAAATGCAATCCCTTAATTTCCTGCTGAGGTTATTCCCTGCTGATTTTGCGTCACAGTTGGATGGGCTGCCCATGATTTTCATTTTTTTCTATATCTCTGAGGCGCTTTTGCACGGTGGACCTTTAGCAGATGGGGTTGTTGCCTTCAACCCGCAGGTGCGAGCTTGGGATTTGGCACGCCGTATAGATGGAAAAATGAATGAAGCATTCATGAAACAGTACATAAACGATCATAAATGTATATAATCACATATAATATTCATATAATAGTATAATTGATATCAATTGATAGTACATCATGTATACGTATGTATATTATAATTAGTATGTGTATATATATATATATCTGTGTGTGTAAGGTATACATAATAATTAGCACACACATTTTCCGTATTTGTGCGTCGGTCCAGCTGCCCCCTGCTCAGGCCACGCTAACGGAGGCACTGCTGAGACCACCAGCAGAGACACAGAAGGATTTGGAGGACATGGTGCCGCGTGTAATCCCTGCATGACGCACGCAGCATCAATCCAAATACTGTAATCCAAATATCAAGGGCTGTCCCAAATACACCAGAATCATCCGCAGAGATTTATATAGACAAGAGTGCTGTTCCAACTTTTGCCGCGAATGCATTTCTCCAGTGTCTTGCTGGTGCGCGAAGCCGCGCGAAGCAGCTATAAATTAGCTATATTATTTTTTTGCAAAGGCTCTTCGCGTAGGCTATGAGATGCATATTATATGTGTTTCATATGTTTGAAAATTTCAACTGTAAACAATATAATCCAATATATAAAAGACCATGTGACCATGAGTTTACCATAGCAACTTGGAACCAGCATCTACTTTCATAGGGCTTACATGTGCAGTGCAACTCAAATCTGTGATTCATATACAGTTCAAAGTTCTTCAGTGATCAGGGTCAGATTTTCATTATCTTGGGGAGTGTGAAGCCTACACGTTTTTTTTAAGGCAAATTTAGAGGCTTCTCCGCGAAGGCTCCGCAAAGGCCCCGCGAAGGCAGAAAATCACCATGAAACACCAACTAGCGGCATTTCTAGAGCATGTTTAACCCATACAATTTTGCTGGTTTGGTGCCTTTCTGCTGCTTTGGCAGATGCAAAAAAGAAATTTTAATTCTCAATTTGTTCGTCGTCTACTTCTGCTTCGTCAGCTTCTGACAGGAACTGAATCAAAGGTTCCAACAACAGCTGCAAAAATATCGCCTGTAGAAAAATTGGGCGAAGGCAAGCACGAAGGCTTTTTTGAAAGAACACATTAAGGGCGAAGGCACCCTTCGCAGTAAAACGCATTCCACGTAGGCGGCGCCGCGTTAGCTTTGGCGAAAGCCCCCTGTGTACGTATAGTCGCCAAGAACCCAAAAAAAAAACAACACTCACGTGAAGAAATAAGAAACGAGCTTAAGCATGTTGTGGCCATTTGAATCAATGCGGAACTTGCCGAGGGTTGATCCAGCAAATGGCACCACATGATTGCAGCGTGTACGGTGGATACAAGGGACAACATCCTGCGGCAGGATCTATCACAGGCAGTGATGGATTCTGTGCAAACTGCCAAGGGCCGCGGGGCACAGATCACTGTGTGCGGAGCCAAGAAGGAATAAGAAGATATAAGAAGCACATAGCAAACCAACGAAATCCAATAACCATGGCATGCCTGTAGCTTCGTGATGCTTCGTGTCATTTTGGAGTTCAGAATTGGACAGTCCTTCGCCATGCGCCATGCCATGTGCCATGCCATGTGCCATGCCATGTGCCATGCCATATTACTTCCGGCTGCGCTCCATGGGTGACGCTGACTCATCCTCGTTTCAACCGGCCAAGGCACTGCGCAGCAGACGAGCACTTGTCCCACGTTTGGCACCCGGTGATCTCTCAGCAGTTCCATCAGCATATGGACTTGATTGGACTTGGATTTGTTTTTTTGTCCTGCCATTGTGAACTGAAATGTTGCGTGTTGCATGCCGGTTGCTTTTCATTACATATAATAATTACATGTGTGGGCCAACCTTCATCATAAAATGAGACCAAGCAAGATTTACTGCTGCATGCTCGTTTCCCTTGTTGCTCAGCGGCTAGACAAGGTGTCCCGAAATTCCCAAACACCGGTGACATTGACATCTACTCACTACAATCGCATGCAATCGCTACTTTTACAATCTTTTAAACATCTTGTTGCAATTGCTATAGATTCGAGCAGGCGTAGCAGGCCCTGGGCTGGGCTTGATTCTGAAAGCCGCAGCCATCGCCAGCCGTAAGTGGTTCAGAGCGAAGACACCTGTAGGGCCTCCTCGGCACCTAAAACATGGTGTCTCCAAGCTCGGTCCAAAACACCATGAAGCGTTCCATGATGAAGCGCCAGTGGGATCAAGTCCCACTTTCAGTGAAGGACGTCCAGAAAGCTTGGAGAGTGGCGGGCAGGGCGATGAATGATTTTAAAATTTAATATGAATGTTTAAATACGATTTGATCATGACTTGCTAATGACTACATAATTTAATATTGGACATGATCAGACATGAACATTACATTGATTAATATTGATTACATGAAATTTCATGAAAGGTTGCTTGCAAGTGTAGACGTTTGGAATCATCTCATGGGCGAGGTGTCTCTAATGGGGAGCCACAAAACTCGAACATCACAAGCAGCATCGCTGCCTTCGAGCAATTTCAAGGCCTCCTACCGAATACAAGACTAATAGAAGACTAATACAAGAGATAGAAATAGATAGAATCCAACTATACAGTAACTACAGAACCAATATAGCCACGAGCAGCGAGTTTATGATAGGTCCGCGATGGGATGATGTCCGAATGTTTTATACTTCTATGCAGCCTATGCAGCCTATGCAGCCTATGCAGCCTATGCAGCTGGCAGAACCTTTTCCTGACGTTGTCTCCCCACATTTCGTCAGGAGAATGGTTATAAGGCTTTGGATGCCTTTCTCCGACACACAGGTAGCACCAGATCAAATACACGCGTTCTTTTCAGAAAATATGCAACAGGACGGACTTGTGAGTGTGTGCCTTTTGCCTGGCACTGGACTGCTCGATTTGGTGTGGTGTAAATATAGCGGAAACGAGCCATGGGTCACAGCATGCTACCAACAAGATGTAGAAACTGTACCACACGGAAGACGTGTCTTCTTGCTTCATTCTCACAATATAGGCAGACCATGAGAGGAAAATTGTTACCAGCTCTAGTCATCTCTAGCCCTGGGATGGGGGAGAGAGAGCCATTTGATTGGAGCCAGCAGAAAGACACCAAAGTGCAGCAGGAGAATTCTGCGGATGAGATCAAACGACATCACATCATCACACAGGTTACAGTACACGATGCATTTGACATATGCTCAATGACAATGAAGGGACACGTGCAGGTTCGACATGGTTCAACTCAAAGCGAGACATTTGAACACAAACACCAAACCAACTCAGCGTTTGGCAGGACGAGATAGAGATGGTCAGCCGGCTCTGACTCTACCAGAGGCAAGACGAATGATTGGTGCGCAACTGGACTGGCAAATGCGTGCAACGGGTTGAATTCGCAACAGCGGATGCCAGGATTTAAGCATATTTAAGCACATTTCAGCCTACCGTCATTGTTCCTCCCTTATAGTTCCTTGGCCTCGACTCGCAAGCACACTCAGAGAGGCAAATCTTTGAGCTCAGAGCTGAGGTTGGTGCAAAAGCTCAACTTGCCAAACTCATTCTTTTTCGATTTGGACGTGCAGTTCTCCCAGTCCAATGCTCAAGTAGACTCAAGTAGACTACAGACTGAGATGGCAGCCTCCGTTTGGCAGTTTTGCAGTTCTGTTGTTTGGATGTTTTGATTTGGTTTGGAACTCAGAAGCTGCTCTGACAGTCGCTAGTGACTATAGTGCAATGTGGAATGAGCTTGCCTGCTGATATCTTCTGATATGCGCTCGCAATCTCTTCGTGAGGTTTGATTTTGATGGCGATGGGACCTTGAACGCGGAAGAGACCTCTTGCATGGTCAAGAGATTCTTGATTGATCTATGTATGATCTTGATGGTATTGTTGGAGTTGCTCCATGAGTTGTACTGTACTCATGAAAATTGACCACAAGCAGCGCAAGCACCTTGTTTTGCCCAGGGCTGATGATCAAAGTCATAAAGGCTAATCCACTGACGATGCTTATTATAGCTTCAAAGATGTAAGCCAGGAGTATCAGAAGTTACTTGATATTTTAATATATTTTAGATTATTTTAGGCATTTTCAGGCTATGCTATGCCAGTCTTGCTATTTCAACACACTTCTCGATGGGTGCTGCTTCCCCAGGCATTTTAAAGGAAAGACGAGCCTCAGCTGGCGGAAAGCCGGAGGCAAAGCAGAGACCGATTAGATCCGGTGAGATCCGGCTTTGAATATTTTGAATATTTTGAATGCTTGCAGATCTTGCAGTGAGACCGGTGAAGACCCAGTGAAGAGCGGTACAGCCACGGTACAGCCGATATGCGGCTGCTTAATCGTTGAATATCCAAGTCGTGTAAGTTGCCCAGATTCCGATGCTTGAGGTTCTTTCAGGTCTCATGTTCTTCAGCAGTTCATGGTGTTCCATGTTTTCAAGTTTTCATTATTTTTCATTGAAGCATATCAAGTCCGTGTGGAATAGGTGCGCATGGATATGTCCCAAAAGTATCCAAAAGTTGCCAACCATTCTCGACCATTCCGACAGATGTTCCATGATGTTCCATTGTATGACTTCTGTATGACTTCTGTATGACTTGCTTGAGTCTCTCAAGATGGCGAACGACCTGCAGGACTGTGATGTTTTGGTTCCATACAAGACCCTGCAAGATGGTGGCTATGTGGTCGTGAGGGAGTTGGGACGTGGTGGTCAAGGAGTCATGTACTTGGGGAAGAAGACACTTGGACGAAACCTGGTACAGTGATACATTTTGGAGACTGCGACATATATGTATATATAATATTATATAATTATAACTATATATATACATAATTGTCATGAAGCACCTGCATGTTTGGCCCGGGAGAAGTGATCGTACACAGGCCGTTGTTTATCAAAAGAGAGCTGGAGAAGATAGATAGTGTCCAAGCCCAATTCTCTCCTAGGCCAATACAGCCCATTTGTAATACAACATTTGGCTCAGTGAAGGTAACATTTTGTGTAAGTGCTCGTCCGTGCATACTGTTACTGAATTTCAGACTTCCACATTGGCTGGGCCTTTCCCGTCTTTGTGACATGACTCCAACATACTCTAACTAAGGGAGCCGCATCGCCAATGGTTTCATTGCAGCGCCTTGTCTAAAGGTCCGTATTTTTTCTTCCAAAGGTGGTTGAAAAATAACAGAGGACATATTGGATGCACAATGTGAAGCTAGTTCGACCTGAGCCTTTGCAATGCCCAAGGGTAGCATGAATTGTCCTAGTGCATATGCGAGTCAGAAAGTCATTATGCTTTATTATGACGAGATATGACGAGTTTTTCTCATCATTTGGCTGGTGGACTCCAGATGTGTGAAGAAAAGAGCGAGGCATAAGAAGATGTTACCGTAGATTCAGCCTTGTTGGTCATGCCCTGTCCTGTGTATCCTGTGTTTAACGCGTGTTTGCGAGACAAATTGAACTACATACCCGATCAATCAACAGAAAGTTGGCCGAAACGAACTCGGAAAAAGGTTGCCGCTGTCCGGTTGGAACTATGTTTTCAAAACTTATTCATGGCAGCATTCATCCATTTGAAGTTGTTGTGCGCACACACACATGATTGCCACTGTAATCAAATGTTGGAGCAATGAATTTTGCTGTGTCAAATCCCGACCGGCATTGTCGACTTCGCCGTCAAGGACAAAGTGATGAAGATACAGAATATTGCATCAAGTTTTATTACAAGAAAGACAGCAACGCAGGTGCCAGACTCAGTGGGCTCCAGCTTGTGAGGTGTAGCATGGTGTAGCATGGTGTACCAATCGCATCCAAGTGCCACTGTGCACTCTAGCAGATCTAGCAGCCTTGGCCACTGGTGAAGGAAGCATCCATGAAATCGTGGATGAATTCTCACGAATGAAAGAGTTTGACAACGAGCTCCTTGAAGCAGAGCGGACAGCTTCAGGAGTGACAAACTGATGCTGTGTATTTTTGAGCATTGGGAAAAGATTTGAACATAATCAGACCGTAACACTTAGAAGTTGATCGAAACTGTTGGATGGCGAGCAATCAAGTGACTACCAAGAGGACTGCATTTTTGCGTCCCATCAATTTAATCAACGATCTCACTTAAGGCATGTTGCCAGAACCTACGAGACCTTCCAAGATCAAGACTTTTATTATTTAGACGCGGAGCTGCAATGAGTGCGCTGTTGCATTTTGTGGTTTTTCTGGCATAAGACAGGTGCTGCAATGTGTCAGGCGCACAGACTGCTTGCTTTTTTGCTGCACCATATGCTATAGATCTATAGTCTATACTGTAGCACAATATGCGTGGAAGGCTTAGATAGCGAAAGGGAGAGACACAATGAGGCATGTGCATCACATATTGCTACAGAATCCAGGTGTAACTTTACAGAACGACAGCCCCTGCGATTCCGGTTTTGCCATGATTATTTTTTTTTAAGAGGTTTTTACTGCATTCACAGATGCATTCTTTACACATCAATTTGACTCAGGCCTCAAATTCTTACTTCCATATTCTTTCGAGGCTCGCCTCCAAAATTCTTCCCATACTCTTTGGAAGGGGGCGACACTCCAACAATCAACAAAAAACCTTAGAAAAACCATGAAAAAAAAACAAAAAAAGCAAACATTGGACAAAAAAAGCAAAAACAATATGTCCAGACTCTTTGGAGGAGGGGGGAGGTCTAGACAAGAGTCTCTAGATAAGAGTTTTTTTTTCCAAAGTTTTTGTTGTTTTTCTTTGTTCCCGTGTTTTCCTGCCTGCTGCACCGTTCGGTCTACCGGATTCGCAGGGATCATTTTTTTCTAAGCAAGGAGTGTCACCAAAGGTATCAAACAATGTATCTTTTTCAAGGAAACAATGTATTTTTTCGCATGCCGCACTGTCCTCAAGGAATACAATGGTTTCGTAAAGTGCAAATGCTTATTGAAGAATACCTTTTCAAAACAATGCTTGACTTTCTGCAAGGAGTATTATTCTTGTTCAAATGACCATTCCATGGAGTCATACTGCGCTTTCTTACAGAAAGATCACCCTTGCTTTACAAACACACACACACACATATACATATAAATCATATAATAATATATATCAAAAGGTTCGGTTTAGTACAAGAACTTAAACAATGCCATACTCTTTCACAAGGACTGCTGTGTGCCCTGAAGGCTACTTTCTCAAAGGAATGCCACACACTTTTGAAAGCAATACTGTGCATACACTGTATACATGTAAAAACATCACCAACAATTTTGACCCCTTCGTATTTTTTCCCGATGGGGAAGGCTATATGTATGTTAGACCCCTCCTACGTCAAAAACCGTGCCCCGGAAGATTTACATTTAGGGGGGGTTGAAAGTCCGTAAGAGATATGTCACCCCGTACCCCCCTCCGAACCCCCCCCCCGGTACTCTACGGATAGGGGGGTGGGGGGAGGTAAATGTTAAATGTCCGCAAGCAGTTTGTAAAGTGTTTGTGAGGTGTCTTTGTGGGGATGTAATCAACCTATGTCTGAAGTCCATAGTTCCTTGCAGAAAGTGTTCGAAAAAGAAGGTAAAAATGAGATAGACAAATGTAGCCATCCTACACCTGAGGCCTATAATTCCTGGCAGAAAGTGCTTTAAAAAAAAAGGTAAAAATAAGATTTTAAAAAGCACAATCCTATACATAAGGTCCATAGTTCCTTGCAGAAAGTGCTCGGAGCAAGATAGAAAAATGTAACCATCCTACACCTCAGGTTCCACAGTTCCTTTCAGAATCAACATGACACATGTGTAGATTGTTATTATATTATGGTTGGAGGGTCATAAGGGGGGCTAGATAGGAACCGTGCCAGAAGGGTGTTTAAGTTCGATCATGTGGGTACATAAAGGGGGTTTATCATGGGGACCCCATAAAGGTTCGTTCGAGGTCCTTTTGAGGTCCATTTGAGATCTTTATTTGTATTCTATTGTTTTTTTCCACGGGTAGGAGGTAAATTTGAAGACCTTCAACATCTATTTTTGCATTTATTTGAAGTTCAAGGATTTTCCAGTAATTTGCATGGAATAATATACCTTCTATACCTCTATGTTACATGTGGAAATGATAAAAAAGGTGCAGAAAAGGTGTAGAATGTATTGGAAATACCAAGCAATTGGGGTCCTACAAACTTTCAGTTTGCATTTTTGATTTTCTGCAATTCTGCAGCTATTTGCAGACCTTCGCACTACAATTTTAGATTTGTTTTTCATTTTCTTGCATTTTTCTCAAAAATGCAATCGGACATTTTGAACACTCCCCTGTGTTTTTTAAGAAAATAAATGAAATCCCGTAAAGTGTGAGGGGACCTACTAAAATGAAATCTTGCAAATAGAACGCAGTTAGAAAAATAAATGCTCGCCGACATTTACCAGGACCCCCTCCCTCAAAAACGTCTAAAGTGTGTCTTGCAATTTGGGTACGTCCCCCCCCTTAAAAGGGTAGTGATGTAAAAACTATTAACATATTTCAAAAAATATAATTTATATAGTCTATAATGAACTATATATGTTATCTTAAAATGATGTGAATGTTGTTTCTTTTGTCGAAGGAAGATTGCCTAACACCATTGTTCAAGCCAATATATTTCATGATATTTCATGAAATCATGAAGTACTTTGTTAAATGAATGCCACACTCTTGAAAAACTAATGTGCATATTCATGTTTTTATCTTAGAGAGACGCTACCCTTATCTGAAATAATACTATCTCTATGGAAGATATACCATATTTGTTCCAAAATATATGGAAGACATGGTGCACTCTTTCTACAAGAATGCAGCGCACATCTCAGGGCTCTGCTTCACAGCAATGATGCACTTTATCAAAGGAATGTTGCCCTCTCTGTGCCTTTATAATCTGAGTTGATACTGTGTTTAATTAAAAAAACATTTTTTTTGAGAAGAGAACAGCATGCTTATCCTTATAAAACGGTCTCTTTAAGATGCAGGAAACTCTGTCAAGAAGATGCAGTACTGCTTCGAAACAAATGAAATCTCCTGTCAATCAAAATATTGGTTCCTCTTGTTCATGCTTTGCTATAAAATCTATAAAGACATGCAGCATAAAAGCAGTCACCCTCCTATCGTTGAGCGTGGCGCAACCGGTCAAAATTGAATTCCATTTCTCTTTGATATTCATTGATTCCATTAAATATTTCATAGCAAAAATGGCTGAATTACCGCATACTTCTACCAAACTGAATTTTCCCAGCTGATTGACGGGTTTGCTTTCAGGTCCTTGTAGTTTATTTTTGCCTGATGTACAAATTTGGATTTGTACCGTATACACAAGACTTGAAGCCAAAACTTCTTACACGATATATTATACCCTTGTAGCTCTATAGCTGGTACGCCTCAAAAGTAAGACAAACATGAACAGATGTTTGAAGTGACTCATTTTCTACATTATTCAATACAATTCAATACATAAAACTTACCAAAAAGCGCACTCCCACAGCCTGCCACTCTCTAACTTTATCAGCTCCCGATGCAAATGACTTCAGCCCGCCTTGGCACAACGCGGACATTTAACCCGGCCATCCGCTGGTGAGCTCAGGTCAATGAGCCTTACTTTGGCGGAGATTGGACGAAGCTGGCTTGCAAAGCGTACGAGTCTGGAGTCCACATGTCAGAAGATTGGTGGCGTGAACTCTACGTGCAATGCATCTTGATTTAATTTGATTACACATACTGTACGTTGAAATGCGATGAAATGCATTAACGCATATTAATGCATATTAGCGCATATTAACGCTAAACATCAAACAACAATTCATGTATGCAGCACTTTGCAGCATTTTTCACTCTTCTGACATCTTCTGACCCGTTTGATGTTTGATTCATTTGGGATCATTTGGGATCATTTGGGAGAGAAGTATAGAGAAGTGTCAGTGGCTTGAAGATGGTTGAAGCATGTTAAAGCAGTTTATAGCAGCTTTAAAGCAAAACCATTGAGGTCTTCACGGCTTAGACTACCTGCAGCTTGGCCAAAACTGCTTGTTCGGTCTCGTGTCTTATCGTGTCTTATCATTGATTTATGCTTGATATGTGTTACAATATGACAGCAACTTCACTTGATATGTGTTACATTTGTGTTACAATATTGCTTGTCTGTTTATGTCAGACTTGTCTTTTTTGAAAGTCTCTGGAATGATGTTTGTCCAGGGATGTCAGGGTCTTGAAGGCGTGCCCAAAAGCAAGGGACATTTTGAAAAGGTCGAAGCCCAACTGTATAGTCCAACTATAGTAACTGTTCATATTGTTTGCCTCCAAATCTTGGGTGGCCCGTTTAAATTTGGTTTGTCGAGGGGTTGTGACATGTTGTGACATTTTGCGAAATTTATGACTCATGGTATCTCATGGTTAAAAAGAAAAGATGCTGAGAGCGATCCAGGCAATGCATTGCACAAACTCTAAGTTGCTTCCAGCTGGCCAGGCACAGAAAAGCGCAGATGCATTGTGATATCAAGGCCAGCTGGCTCATGCATGCAACGTCTCGTCCAAACTGTTCCGAACATGTCCAAATGATTCCAGATGTATATAGCTCATGTCACAGAGATGCACTCACATGTGCACAATTGTATGTTTTCAGGCTGTGAGAAGCTCGCATTAAGTTCACACTTGGCACTTGTTTTGAGCAGATGTTCTGCAAAGAGTTACTGTATATAATTGCAGGGTCAGAATCCCCTGTCCGAAGATATCAAGTTCCTTCCTTTGCAGGAGCCAAACCTTATGGTAAAGCACAATCACGATTACAGAAGCATCTCGGTTGGACTTGATCGCGTTTTAATTTTTTAAAGCAGGGAGTTTGGGTGTGACGGGCTTGCTGCTACGGTTTCTCGCAACGCTGATCAATGGCAGAGTTGGATGATTCGAATTCGAGCATATTCGAGCATATTCGAGCCAAGGACCGCAGGTTGTGTACATTGATTTTGGCTTGTCGCAAGCCTTCGCTCGAAAAGTAGAGAACGTCACGGGCACGTCAGCTCCTCAGGTGAACTCACGAGCATCGTGCAGCCACGGGTCGCATCGAGCCACGTTCATGTCCTGTGCTATCCTGTGCTATCCTGTGCTATTCAGCTCTGCAGACTGACTTATTCATACTTATTCGCTATTTTTTTCAAGGTCTTGTAGTCCAAACCCGTTGCATCCCGTTGCGGCTCAGGGTTTCTGTACGTTTCTGTCAAGGTTGATTTAGTCAATAGTTTCTGGAAATTGGGTCAAGTCATGTCAAGTCATCCTCATATTGTCATATTGTCAAGTCATGCCACATGATATTGTTAGATACAGTACATGATGTAATCATAATGTACATGTGCTCGCCTACCCAGGCCTGGATACATCCCGCCGGAAACCTGGCAGGAGAAGGCAAATGTAGCAATGGCACAGAGTTTTGCCGTCAAGATCCGTCAAGTGAGAATGAGACAGTACAGGGCACCAAAATACAAAGACATCCGAAGACATCATATGACATCATCAAACATCTTGAACATTCTCACGCGTTGAATTTATCAACAGATGCAGACACCTTGAACTGCTTCTTGGCAAGCCTCTTTGCGAGATGCAGGCATGGTATCCAAGTGGTGACATTTTTAGCCTCGGAGTTGCTCGGCTTGCATGGCAAACGTGGCAGCATAGGCTGGTCACTGGTCTATTTTGTTGTTCCATGTTGTTCCCAGTTGGACCTCTACTAATCTTAACAAAGCGCTGCACCCGAGCCTTTAAATAACCCGTTACTGTAATACTGACTTGAACATGTTTGGTCAGAAAGAGCACTAAAGGGGCCTGCATTATTCACAGGAGGAGCGAGGAATGGGCTGTAGATACTGTAGAGTGTGGCTTTTGTTCCTGATTCATGACCCAAAATGGTGCTAGACGTGATCTTCCCATGTGGCAGGAGGCAGTAACTGAGCCAACATGTAGCAGCATATCATGTTCGCAGACACGCGCCTTCTTGGTTCCAAGCCGGTACCAACTGCGCCAAGCAAAGTCAGATAGATCCAGTGCTTTCTTTTGTATTTTGGTTACTCCATCGTGAAGCTGTATGTCATATGTGAGGTTGAGTGGAATAAAATGGAATCAGCACTTCAGGGGGGGAACGCTAAGATGCAGAATTCCAAAGCCGCAGTCCTGCGGGAACCAGTCAAAAGCAGCTTTCATAAAAGGTTCTTAGTCTAAGATATCTAAGATGCGCTTCAGAGTCTCATGTCACGCTGATGGCAGAACATGGCTTGCGGCTTGACATCAGCGCGCCATTTGCGCCTGAAAGTTTATCACAGCGCTTGCTGCGGCTTTCACAGATTGCAGAGGCTGAGGCGCTTGAGGTCGATGTGTGGTTTGTTTGCAAAAGTGGTGAGATATATTGACCATTTATTGACCAAAATGGTGAGACACTTTGTGGACAGTGGACTGCGTGTTCTGCACATTTGGCTATGGAATCTCAAGTAGTGACTAGTGGGTGGCCTCTAGCAGTGGGCCAGCTGAGGTATGGCAAGCACATAGCTCTGCAATCCTTTGAAGCAGAGGTGGCGATGTTCCTGCATAAAGAGGCCCGGCGGGTAAAATATTTCAAAATTTTGCAAGCACGCAACCCAAACCTGAACGCTTGTTCCGATAGTACAGTGATATAGAGACATGATTAGTTAACTATATAAATATACTGTAATTATAATTTAAGACACACACATATATATATATATGTATATAATATTAAATATTAGGTCCGTGAAATTAAATGATATAACTAAGCCGAGGCAGCAGGCTTGGCAGAGATATAGAAACTAGGCGAACACACCAGCTCACACTGACACACTGACAGGGAAGTGTTTGGAGGGCTGTCCTTGTACTCCAGAGAGAGAGAGAGAGAGAGAGAGAGGCGGAAGTGGCCAAATGTGGCCTGAAAGACTTTCAGTGATAACAGAGACTAAGAAAGGTAGAAGTGACGAGAAGTGAACACAAGCGCCGATATGAAAGGCTACACCTACGGAGACAAATTGGAGAACCATATTGGGAACAGAATCAAAGAACATCAAGAACCCAAGCTTTTTGGAAAAATGGAGTCGGCTCCGCTGAGCTCAAAATGTTACCGCAATGTGCTGCAACCCCGAAGGCTGGCCTCTTTTTCCCTACTGGTACTTTGGCTCAGCGTGCAGCCATTCACGCGCATTTTCAGGACTTGGCAGTCCAAGGCTTGCCACAGGGAAGACTGATTCTTCATCCCACTTCTCATCTGATCCATCATGATTGTTTGCGTGATGGACCCTGGATGAATTTTGGCAACCTTTTGACCTATTTTGACATTTTTTGACGTTTTTTAATGCTGTCTCTCATTGCTTGGACAGGCCCCAGCCAAGTGGAAAAAGATGGAAAAAGATATATTACGGCCCCTTCTCCTGAGAGTACAAGGATGTACAAGGGGAAACCAATAAGAGAAAATAAGTACAAGGCAATTTCATGGTGAATTCAGTTTTCCTTGCCGCTAGGAGCATCCCAATCCAAAAGGGCGCGGTTGGAGATTGACAGATTGCCGGCCTTAAATGTACAAGTTGTTGGTCGTTTTGAGCGGCCGTTTCAACGTGAAGATTTCCCATCTGGATGTCCGGGCGCTGGAGACGTCGCAGCTCACCTCTTGACTTCATGAGTTTTGGATCTTTTGGGTTCCTTCAGTTTCCTTCAGGCCCCGGTTTGGCCCACGAATATCCCACGAATAATTTGAGCATTGACACTTGCGGTTGAACAAAATCTCGGTGATAAAGAGAATGATAAACTGTAATATGATATACTGCCATGATCTGCCATGTAAGATCATGTAAGTAAAATATAGTAAAATGATGTAAAATGATATACTATGAATTTAATATTATATCGATTGTGCATATTATACAGTATATATATACTTATATGCATGTTTTTAAATATGATATCATCGGTGCTAATCGCCCTTTCTCGCTGTCTTAATCATTCTATCATGTTCTGTTTTGTCCTATGAAGTTCTTGATTCGTCATCAATTTTATATTTGGTCTCACGGGTTTCTCAAGGTGGTCATCGAAGTTCCCCATCGCATGAATGGCGGTCGTTCCATCTCGTGGGCAGAGCTCAGAGAGATTGCTCAGCTGGCAAAGACGGCTGGCGCTCGTTTGCACATGGACGGCGCTCGTTTGTGTGAAGCTTTGCCATTCTATGCGCTCCAGGGAATCGAACGGAAAGCCATTTGTGCCGTCTTTGATTCCATCTACATATCATGGTATCCTTCGTTTTGCTAAGGATATTTCATGGGCAGTCTTGTTTGTCTTTTTTGGTTTGTGTGTGTGTTTGCGATCTGTTGTGTGCTCTTTTCATTTGTGCTATATAATTATAATTAATTATATATATAATTATAATCAAATGATATCAAATGGATGCCTGACACATCCAATTCTGTTGCAGGTACAAAGGATTTGGAGGGATGAGCGGGGCGTTGCTTTGCTCATCGCGATCTTTGGTTTCGTTGGCTTCTGATTGGCAGGTCCGATTGGGAGGCAGTGTGTTTACACAGGCTCCACAATGGATTGATGCAAGTGACTTGTCTCCAGCCGGTGCGTTTTTTTCATGTTTGTTTGTGTTTTTTTGATATTCTTTCAGTTCGTGGCATTTTCCGAAGTTGCTATGACTCCGAAAAATCGTCCAAGCCTCCCCTGCGGAGAGGACTTTGGAATCAGGGCATAGTAGATTTTGAGCTGCCTGACAGTATCAAGAGATGTCAAGAGTTTGAATGTTAGTTAGTCTGTGCATTTGTAAAATTGATTATATTTGTACAATTTTGTACATAGGTTCTGCCAACTTATGTCAAGACTTGCCAAGGATAGTATGCACTGACGGACTCAGGAGAACAGTTTCGGGACCTCGCAGGATCGTTTCAGAAGAGATATGCTAAGCTCCATGAACTGGTTCAAGCCATGGCCGGCGAACCCATCAGACAGATACTTCGGTTTGAACCACCAACACCTCAGTCCTGTATGATTCATGTGTACCTGAAAGGAGCAGCTGGGTTGCTCTTCGATCGTTTTGATGCTCTTTATATCTCTTTATTGCTTTTGTTCCCGTTCGTTTCTGAAGGGATCGACCTGCGCTTCCTGGTAAGTTTCTTAGAATCGAAGCCTTATACTATCCACATATATCGACAGACCGGGTTCATTGTTCGAATCAATTAGCAGGATGTTTATTATTTTTGAAACAGAGAGATTTACGAATCGATAGTTTTCTGTGGGGGCATCCTCAAAGTGCCTGCCGAGTCTGTGAGAAGTGCTTGCAGATGAATATCCTAGGCAGAACATGTGCTCAGCACAGCACATGAGAAGGTTCAAGCAAATTGCCGCCTGAAGCTATGGAATCGATTGCGTGGCCAAGTTGCGAAGAGAAACATGTTCAAAACATTTCAGACTGCTTTCGCTCGCCATCTCGAGTAGATCTAGTATGATCCAATGCTTGGTACTGTACAGCATTCGCCACCAAGAAACGCATAGGTTTGCTCACATCATTGGTTCCAAGGTTTTTACTTGCACAGTTTGCACTTCAGACTGTCAGAACCAGAGGCTTCGTATGGTGAAGGTCACAAAGCGGATAAAAAACTACAGAGCCCTTCAGCAAGGGCAAAGTGATGCTAGATCTATTCAATCAGATTTCACGGTGCTGGAGGAAAAACAACTGTTATTTTCTATTGTTTGCTTTGCCGAGCATGCAAATTCAGGTGGTCCAGGATATCAACTTCACTTCACTGACAGCGGTAATGGTGACACAGATAAATGCAGAGAATCAGCAGAAACCCAGGAGTTTTACTTTGAATTCAACATGGGGCCAGCCAATGCGCAGATCCCAATCTCCGTTTACTTGGAAGGATGGACGGCCATGGCAGCGATCTTGCTCGCAAAAAGCGCCAGCTCGCCCTCGGCTGAACAAATTTCAAGCGCGAATACGATCGGAAACAAATGTCAAGCCATGATGCAAAGGAGAAACGCACAGAAAAGACAGCAATACATGCAAGAACCCTATGTTTTCTCAGGAAAATCTACGCATTGCATGTTTAAAATCATTCGGAACACCTTTTCAACCTTGGCAGACGACTATGCCTCAATGTTTGTATTCGTCGTGCTGGCCCTTCACGCTCAGGTTGTGTTTTTCCAAATGCTGTCTGGAAGGGTGCCTTCCGAGGATGGATCTGTGCGAGGAATTTTTCAAGAAGGTGCTGACACTTTCCTGCACATGTTTTTTTGTTGGTGATCTTGGTGAATTCTGCAGACTTCTACCTGCCCTCAGAGTCTTCATCAGACTTTTTCAAGACAAGGAGGCAAACTTTGCTAGCCAAAACCAGGAGACATGAGCTCAAGGTGAGAAGGAGCACATGAGAGCGATGTGCTGTGCTGAAGGTCCATTCTTGCGCCAATACGCCATGGATTCAATAGATAGACAGACTATTGTTCTTGTAGTCAAACAGTCTGACGATGTTTGACGTTTCATACGTTTTCATACGTTTTCACCTTGTAACGATTTTCAGTGACATGTGACGATTCGCCAAGAACCAAGGACTTTGTGCAATTGGCCAAAGCCACTGCTGAAAATTCACCACCTTGGCATCTGTTCCCATCGCAGTGGGGACACTCGCTCTGAAGTGCCATGAATTTGCAGCGTACTAAACTCACATGTGCACAAGATACCTTTTAATGATTTTGATGCATTTTGATAACAAATAGCAAGCAAATACATTACAGAAAGGCATTGAGCTTTTTACTGAGAGTTTTGCATGCGTTTCATCGTTTCCTGTCAGGTTGACCGATAATCTTCCTCCTTGTGCCGCCATTTAGGATCCTGAGCTAGTATCACTGATAGATAAAAGGACGTCACTAATTGCGGTGTGATCCATCTCATTCACTTTGGACCCGCTTTTCATCGCATGGGGTTTCCATCAGTTGGCACCGGAGCCTGGCCATGCCGATTCTCTCCAATCTGCCTGCCTCTGGCGCTGCAGCATCTCACGAGTCCAACCTCAACCTGTGTGTTGAGTGCCCTCAAGATGGGGATGATTCTGCAGAAGAGGAGTTGGTGCTGGATGGAGTTTCAGGGGCCTCGACTAATTATGTGTCTGATCGTCCTTCTTCATGGAGATGTTGGGATTGTGATCATGGCACGTTTCTTTGATTGACAGATAGTTGGAAGTGTTCTAGGTGTAACAGCAGAGAGTACTACCAGGTAGATGGCGTGGTTCGAAGGGAAACAGAAGAAGGCGTTTGGATTTTCACTCCCCATGTTCAATCTCATAATCATTCACATCGTCCTCATGAACCTCATGGCGTGATCCCGTCTCCTTCTCCTCCATCAGATCATAGGGCCTATGGGGAAGGTAGTGGGCAGGCTGAAGAAGCAAGAACCATTGATCCAATTGTAGAACCTCAAGATGAAACGACATCTAGAAGACGGAACAGACGAAGAAGAGCTCGAAGAACCACTGCGCATGAAGAGCTTTCACATGCTTTGCAGACCTTGCGGAATGCCTTGGCGAATAAGCCCCAAAATTCTCATCCCAGCAGAGTAGCACCCAGCAACTCTTTAAGAACTTGGAATAGTCGTATGGGACCAGAGCCGGGGGTGAGGTTTAGAAAGTTGCCAGTGTGGAAATTGCAAATTCAATCTTGCATTACATGACATTGAGAGAGGCATCACTCTTTCTTTGCACATCCTTGTCCGGTGAGGCAGAAGAAGAATTAGAGCATGCTGATTTAGATAGAACCAACTCAGCATCTGGAATTGATTACATTGAAGGGCAGTTGAAGTTGGGTTTACAAACCAAAACGGTTTATCAGAAGAGAAAATTCATGGCCGACTACGAAGCCATTGTGAGACAGAACAGCAAATCTGTCAGGGCCTTCGCAAATCGGTACCGACGTGCCGAGAAAGCTTTGGGCTCAGTGGGCGTCTCCGTAGGAGGCATGTATGATGAAGAATCAAGAGGAAACAGGGTTTTGGAAAGAGCCAGGTTGAGTCCAGAAAATCAGAGGCTTGTCCTGATTGGCGCAGCATATGATCTTCGCTTTGATGTCATCGTGGAAAGTCTATGCATGTCCTTTCCTGAACATAAAACTGCTCCTCAAGTATTTGGACGTGATGGTACCCCTCTTCGTCTTCAAGGTATATAAGTCAGTTTCAGGTCAGTCTTGTTCCTCTTCTTCCTCTTCTATCTTCTCCCAGCGAATGGAAAAAGGGAAGAGCAAGGGCAAGGGAAAAAACAAGATGACATTCCTTACGGATCACAAGTCGATGAGAACCAACATGAACTAGAAGAGCCAGCTGAATATCATGGATGCATAGGTGACAATGAGCAGCAAGGATATGAGCACAACGACATTCATGATGATGCAGGTTGGCAGCATGAACAGCAAGAGTACCCTGAGGAGAATGAAGAAGATGCTGAAAACCTCGCTCAAGTGCTCCCGGTAACAGCCAATTTTCTCAGGCTCTCACTCAAGGTAGAAAATTGACTGGATCAAGGAATATTGAAGAGAGGAAGCGTGCAAGTAGTTTTTCTGCCTGTGGCGCTTTCGGCCACTGGGCCGGTGACAATGAGTGTCCCAAATCAGGTTTGAAAGGTGCTCGCGGCAAGCCACAGGGAAAGGGGAATGGAAAGGAAGGGAATCAGGGTAAGGATGGAAAGGTTTCAAGTGCAGACGACAAGTGCGCGAAGCGAGTTTACTTCACCATGCAGAGTGAACATGGTGAACAGCAACAAGCAGTTCCAGCTGACACGCAAGACAAGCCATTCTTCATCACCTTCGCTATCCACTATCACGTCCCCTCCTTCCAGATGCCCGCAATCCTCTTCACACAGTGGTCCAGTTTAGCAGGAATGATGGTTCTAGACACGGCTTGTCAAAGAATGCGTTGCGGCCGCCAATGGCTTGAAGCGCACTCCGAATTGTTGGCAAAGCACAGGTTGCAGCCGCACATGATTTCCATCTCCGAGGCCTTTCAGTTTGGCCATGGGCCATGGGGAGCCAATGCCTGCGAAGGACAGGGCATACATGCCGTCGAAGATTGGCAGTGTTCACTTGTTTTGGGATGTTTTGGGGGGCTAGTGTGGTTGATACGTCCTTTCCATTGTTGGCAACAAACACTGTTTTGGAAACTGGAGTGATTAACTTTGCACGGCAAAAAGTTTGGTTTGGAGCACTTGGCATAGAAGCAGACATCCATAAGGTACATGGGCATCTAGCAGTTTCAATTGCAGATTTTGAGAGCATTGTCAGTTCGCTACCAATTTGGAAGGAACTCTCAACTTCGGAGCTTTGGAACTCACCACACCCTGAGTGTACTTTACATGTCACTCAATCCAATGCGCAGCACCATTCTAGTCAAGTTCCAGGTGCTTACTCTGTGAGAGATGTTGCGCCACACACCGCCCAAATGGATCCAAATGGCTGATGAGATGGCACCACGTGGTCACGGCGCTTCTCAATCTGGAACTGCAAACTTTCAAGTGGATGTCCGCATGTTTCGGTTGGGCATGAGAGATCGTTCCTGGTTGACGCTTTGGGAGTCTTGCATGATCATGACAAAGAAGGTACCACTGGAGACCATGAGAGATTGAAGCCACCCAGGGTGGAAAATACACGCCAACATACACGGGTCGTTCGCGACCTGCCTCCTGTGTCACATGAAAGCAATCAATTGGGCTGGCTGGCTCGCGAAAATCTTCTTTGCCATTGCCTTCATCTTCATGCCTACTTCACGGACTACACAGAGCAAATCCAAAGCACGACTAACCAGTTCGCACCTTCTTTTGTCTCATCAGACATCGAGGAATCCTTCTCAGGCCTTTGTGGAGGAACTTCCAGTGCCGGAGGTGTTTCAAATGGATTTCGAGGACACGGGAAGTCAGGATCTCAACTACGAATGGGAACATCAAGGTTAAGCCAGAACACCGATGATGGTTTGAACCATGATGCAGCGCATCGAAAGTATCAACTGGGAAAATTGCGACGGGCTAGACGGCTAGACATGCTCATCATTCTGAACAGCGAATGCATGAGTGCATGGCCAGTTCACATGGCACTTCACGAACAAGAGTGGTTATGGAGATATTTTCTCGAACAGGCAGCGCATCCAAGAGGGCACCATCTTTTGGATTCACAGCAGCAGCACCACTTGATTCTTCTGTTGGTGTTGTTTTGGGTTCTGATGATGGCAAAGCACTGTGCAATCGAATGATTGGTTCGCTGCGTCCTCTAGTGCTTTTACCGGGAATCCACTGCGCTCCCTGGCTAGTGATGAATGGGAACATGAATTATTCCCGTAGATCTGAAGAGCTTCAAGAACTCAGAGCTGATGAACGTCCCAATCTAGAAGCAGCTATGGATTGGTGTGTTCAGCAGCATGCAGAAGGTAGGCATTTTTTATTTCAGAGTCCTGTGACCAGCAGAATCTGGGCAGAAGACTGTGTGGCAAACATGTTGCGAAAAACAAATGGCCGGTGGTCAGACTGTCATTCCAGAGACTATGGCGGCAAAGATTCCCAAGGAAATCCCACCGTGAAGTCCTTGAGGTTTGCGTCCAACAATCCCATCTTACTGAGTTTTTGGGTTTACCGCTGTCTCATGATCGGCATCAGTGCAGTCCTTTGGAAGGCAATGATGTTCATCCGCATGACATTGTCACGGCCATTCTGAAAGGCATCAAGAAAGTTGCACAGTTACGAAATCCAGCCAGGCTTCAACCAAAAAGAGTTTTTGCTGCATATTCCATGCCAGTGGACGATCAGCACCTCTGGCAAACGTTGATCTGATGGACTATGCACCAAACTTGCCGACAGGAACTTCACTGAAGATTTATGTGCTTCAGCATGATGATGAGATCTGTCAATTCCTTTCAGCAGCTTGTCCCATGGCAGATCACACGTGCACAGATAGCATTGCAACTTCTTGTGAATAGACATCCCACACATGTACCATGTACTTACTCATCGAGGGTCAGCTTTGCGATATGTTGGCACGGAAACGGTCGAGGTTCTCACTGAAGATTTGGGTGGAATCCAATTTCCTATGCTTTCGTAGGGCAGTTGAAGCGGGAATCTTTTTCTACGGATATCCGAATGCAATTGATCATGCGCTTGGCATTGCCGGAGAAGAGCAGATGATTCTTGATTCTCGCAGCCCCGAAAGGATTGACAACCCCACCACGGAGATGTTCCACCATGAGATTTCTTTTCCAATGCCAATGCGTAGACCGCACCATAAAGACATCGGTGGCGAGAATGCATCGAAACATGTGCCATCTTCCGCCAGCAGAGATATTTAGCTGTTGGCATGAAAATGGCATCACAGGTGATCACATCATCAAATGCATCAAGGCCATGAAGTGCGACGCATGTCTTTGTTCCAAGGGTCCTCAAAGACCTAATCCAGCAGGTTCCAATCCACAATATTTGGATCAATTTGGAGATCAGTTGCGGATGGATATGGTGTATGTCAGGGATGTGACTTCAACCAACCATGCTGTTTTAGGAATCATTTGCGAGGCAACGCATTTGCATGTAGCAATCCGCTTACCATCGCGAAACCCATCTGATGTTTGTGGCGGCTTCAAGAATGCGTGGTCTAGGTCACTTGGTTTTCCATTACGGGTTTCACTGGATGATGATGGAGGCTTCAAGGGTGTGTTTGCTGATTGGATGGATGACATGGGTGTCTTCGTCAACATCATAGCTCCTGAATCCCATCATCAAATCGGACTCATAGAGCGACACAATGATACGCTTCGCATGTTGGTTGAAACGATAGTTGACTCACTGGCATGTGCGACAGCACAAGAAATCGACAGCATATCAATTGGCCGAATGCCGCACCAAAATCAACAAGGACCTCAGGTCCAAAATGCTGGACTGGCTGTCCAAAACAGTCATCAAACTGAGAGATGATCAGTCAGAGAAAATACACCAGTGAGAGTTTTGCATGCGTTTCATCGTTTCCTGTCAGGTTGGCCGATCATCTTCCTCCCGTTGCCGCCATTTAGGATCCTGAGCTAGTATCACTGATAGATAAACGGGCGTCACTAATTGCAGCGTGATCCCTCTCATTCACTTTGGACCCGCTTTTCATCGCACGGGGTTTCCATCTGACTTACATGGTTTGCACTTCCATGCGTGTGGGAATTGGTTTCCGGCTTTGAGTGTGGTTGTTCACGTGTTAGACTGGGCAAGCCTCGTTGATGTTCCTGCACCTCCCACATGGTCTGCAATACTGCTGGCCCAGTGGGTCACCAACCAAGGAGAGCTGGCTCGAGTGGTGGCATCCATGCTTCAAAAGCAGCCCAAAAACCCAGAAGTTCATAGCAATGCTCATTGAGTAAACGTTCTCTTTGACAGACCATTTTTACGTCAGCTCATTTTGACACTAGGTGGTCGTGACTATGATAAGATACAACATTCACTGAAGGATTCTTCGAATTTTACAGTATGTCTTTCCTGCTGCGCTGCTTCCTTCATGTCCAATCCATGTTTGGACCCAGGAAGGAACATCGTCCACGCGCTGCAGCGCTCCTGCGGGAGCCATGACAATGGATAGCAGCGAAAGATAGAGAGATCTACAGAGAGAGGGGTAGAGATGTTAAGCTGCGAATTCATCCGCTTTAAAGATTTTTTGGGAGAAAATGGGCTGCTATTCTGCGCACCAAACATCTTAAGATTGAACAGTAGTGTACATACAGCAGCGCTTCGAGGTACTGCATGGTACTGCCAAAAACTATCAGGGACCCATCAGAGACCCATCAGAGACCCATCAGAGACCCATGATTTGTGTTCAGTCTTCTCACGCTGCATGCGACATGGGTTTGCGTTCACAAACTATGCTCAATGTTGAAGAGTCGGCAACTTTGGCCGAGGATCCTTGGTTTCAATCGAACTCAGCCGCCCCTCTTCCAAGACCAAATTTGGCAGCGATAGTGGTTTGGATTCAGTTAGATTAGATTTTTGTCCGTCCTTTGGTTTTTCTTGAGAATTGACGATATTTGTGCAGCAGAAAGTCAGAGCATGGGCGATTTACTTTGTTTGGTTTATTTGTTTTTGATTGTTTTTGGCATTGCACACCCGTCCCTCAAGACAGAACCGGAACGCCGGAGGCATGTCCCCACTTTCAATGGAAAGCAATTAAATGTAATTACATGTAATTACTCACCGCAAGGTTCGTCCGTGACATTCCAAGAGCTAAGGTGCATAGGTCCAAGGAGGCCGTTTGCAGGACCCTGCTTATGCCCACAACTGGAACCACGCACTGAAGCCAGAATTCGGCACCCGTTGTGTAGGGTTCTGATTGATGCTGGGAGGATGCAGCAAGATTCACGATGCTCGAAGCGTTTTGACAACATGAGCTCTGTAAGTTGCTGACAAATTGATCCCAATTGCGTGAGCAATGTTTGGATGTTTCTGCGAGTTTCGCTTTGGACAAACAGCACTGCAATATCACCCCCCAGCTCTATCAACATGGGCACGAGGTGAGCAAATTGTTAGCAATGTCACTTTACCAATGTTCACAGTGAAGGCTCAAAGTGAAAATTGAGGCCAGAAAGGCAAGTTGCACATAGAAAAAAACATGACCGAAGGATACTGATGTCCAAACGGTATTGCTGCAGGGTTGTTGATACCCAAGTCAGGAGCGATCTTGTGAACGAGTTGTGTGAAACCTGCAACCTGCAGGAATTGCTGCTTGGATGTGAAATGTGTGAACGGCCTTGATCACTGTTACGCTACTCACAACCGGAAGGCACAGATTTTACGAAAAAAAATAATGTATTTACAGTAAATGTCACAATATAACAATATTATATAATAATTATATAATATATAATTATATATATATATATATTTATTTATTTATATTATTATATGAGCAATCTTGGAAACTCCAGTTTCCCGGAAAGGACATCTACAGATTTGGAAGGGTCCCATCGCTTGCAGTACCTCATGTTTTTACAATCTCCGGCAATCGATGTCCCTCCCTTACATGTTTAGTATTGCCGGAGTTGTTGCGGTGGCATACTGGCACATACGGGTACCATATCTAAGTCTAAGTACATATTGGATATAGTGCGTATATGAATTATCCTATATTTATGTGATGTTAGATGTTTATAATTTTATATGATCATATAATCAGTATATAATTTATATATATATATAGATATAAACATTATCATGATTTGATCATATATATGTCAAATATTCAGATGTAACATCATGTGATATTATGTGATGGTAGGAGCAGACTTGGCCACATGCAGCTGCAGCGCTGAGGCGCACGCTTCAGGCTCGCCTAGACCAGCTCAGGCAGTTTGGGCAGGTTCCCCGAGCAGCAAACTTGGCATCGCTTTGCATCGCTTCTATTCAATTCACAAAATGTCTAGATTGTATAGATTTGATTAGATTTGATTAGATTTGTATAGTACCTGTCGCACCAAAACCTGACTGCAGAATTCCATGGGTGTCAAAAATCTCAGGTCCCAGATGCCGAGGAAAATTCAGGTTGTATGGGGAAACCTCGGGTTTTGGTTTTAAACCTGTGCAAAGACCGTACTTTACCCGTACTGAGTCCATACCAACCCGTACTTTCAAAATTGGTAGAACATGCTTCAAGATTTTGCATGAAACCTGGGGTATTTTGGTAACCACTTCAATCATCTTTAATCTATAAGGACTGGAAAGAAGACCTAGCAAGTAAAGGGATGAGACGAGCGCGGGGACATCATGGGGACAGTCAAGGTGGCGACACGAAAGTGCGCAAGTCAAATTCTGTACATGTGGTTTCCTATGTTTCCTGATGTCATAAGATGATGTAAAGCCCGTGGAAATTGAAAAAGCGTGGTGGGCGCTTTAAGCCATGTCCATGTCTTGACACACAGGGCCATCCAATGCCAACATTCAAGGCTACACAACAGCCAACAGTTGGCACAGCCAAGCTCCTTCGCAGCAAAGTACTTGAATTTGCATCCGCTCAGCGCACTCTGGATCCCAAGATGACAAGAGGCCAAAGAGGTCAAGATATGATATAGTCATATATAGTCTAGTATACATTCGTACACTGTACAATACCGCACATATAAAACAGAACGTATAGTCCGTATAGTCATAAGATGAAAAAAGAATTGGTCTGATATGTCATTATGTTGACGACAGATCAGGAAACTCGGAACTTGCATTTGCGATATCATACATGCACAGTCTCACACAACGCCAGCTCAGGTTCGTTGAGGTAGTTTCTGCCTACGGCGCTTCTCCTGATGTCTCTTGCCTCTAAGCCATTCTAAACCGAATGGATCACAATGAGCTCACAAGTGGCCGAATAATGCCCCATGCCCCATGTAGAACATCATGCTTGTCACTTGTCATCACTCATGTTCACAAGAGATGCTTTTCCGTAAGTGCATGACACTGACACGCTAAGGTTTTGCAAAATTTTGCGACCTTTGTGGCGAAGGCCGGTGCTGCGACTGGGAATAAAGAGGGCTTTTCCTCACCGGTGAGTTTTCTGACTGTCTCTCACTTCGGAGATGAACATGAAGAGTCTCACCTTCAATGTCTGCAAAACAGAAAAATGTGTTTCCTAAATGGTCCAACAACCTTCATCTGAAATCTAATAAGACAGAAGAAATGTAGGACAACAGTGCAACAGCACAGATCACAACAGCATGTTTCGCGCCTCCCTGCTCAGCGCTCCAAGCTGTGAGGGCGCTATGGTCAACTACGTGAACCTCTTGAAGGAAGTCATTGAGGCAGGGTCGCGCTATTTCCAGCTATGGCGAACTATCTTGAGTTTGGGGCCTTGGGGGGCGGCATGTAAAGCGTACCATCAAACAGGGAAGCGAAGAGCTGAAGAGCAAACAAATTACTCATTGTGGAGTGGTGAGATGTGGTGAGATGTGGTGAGATGTGGTGAGATGTGGTGAGATGCGGTGAGATGTTGGTCGCTCCTTGGCACTTAGTCTTTGTCCAATTACTTTTTGCATTTCCACCATTTTCCACCCTATGTTTTCAGATTTCTTGTGGTTGCTGATAGTTGCCGCAATTGCAAGTGGGCGAGGAGAAGGAGAAGCGCAGCAATCAGCCTCTTGGCAGTAGGGTGGCCTGTGGCCAGTCCTGCCCGATGACTTTCAATTCTTTTGAGATTGAACATCTGGATAAATGAGGAGTTAGTTGCGAACCCGGCCCGGTCCTTATTCACTTTGGCAGCAACGCCACAGGGAAGTATGCATAGGAGCCCGGATCCAAATTAACGTCATGCAAATTTATGTGGAGTGTTCACTGCATGTTCTTTCTTGGACTTGGCTTGGAAACGGTAGGGACGTCCAAAAACGATACCCCTTAACTCAGACTACAACAGGCCTTTGAACCATTACTGTAGCCTCCCATGTTGCAATTCTGGGCTGCCATGTGTTACTAACTTGGGAGATCCTGCAATCAGAGCTGCTACGGAAGGTTTGCACCCAGTCGCTGTTGGGACGAGTGAGCTAATGACAGGAACCAACACACGCCCCAGGGGTTTGCCAGCAATAGATAGCAGTAGCAGCAAAGCAAGCAATCGGGTGAAGGTCAGGTAGGTTTGGAATGGACTTGCATGAGCTACTGCCTGACGGGCAGAAATTCGTGCGTGATACTGACAGTGCTGCATTATTCTATATTATTCTCATGTAATTAATTGCAGATACCCCAACAATACACCAAAAAGTTTTTTTTCATCCCGACCCAGGACATGCTCAAAAGTAGAATTTGGATTTTGATCTCCCAAACTTTGATCATCTGGAATAAATAGGCCCTCATCCTTTCAAACTTTCCTGTCTTCCTTTCTTTTCGTTCCTCTTCCTTTCCTCTTGCTTTCCGCTTCTTTGCCTGTTCCTTACCTCCTCCATTCCTTAAGCCTTGAGCAAATGAATGTATGTAAGTGTAGCATTTTGCTTGCATTGTGCTTACTGGCCATTCTGAACGAGTACACATCTTCTGGTTAAGCAGGCAGCTGCGGGTTTCAACGCTTCCAGGGAAATTTTCCAGCCTTCCCGCAATGTTTCCTTTTATGACATTGACACGCCTATCCTTTCACAACTTGGAATCTCCAACATCTTCAACATCTTCAACGACTGAGAGGGCAACTATTGTTCATGGAGAAATTTTGTCATATTGTTGGTACGCCCAGCTTCCTTTGCGCTTTGCAGCTTTCGTGCTTTCATTTTCAGAAACAGAGTTGCCCGATACCTCCTAGGCTCGTAACCAATCTCTTCAACGAGCCTCCTTGGCCGCAGATAATGCAGATGTGGTTGCTGGGTCAGAGCCATGAAGCTGGTGTCAAGAATGTTTACTGATGCCCCATGCCCCACGGTCCTTGACATGTTCTTTGGGCATCGTCGGGCAAGTTATCAAATCTAGGAATGAGGATAGGTATAGGACGGTATAGATAGATATGGAATGGTATATATATATAGATAGGTCCAGATACAGCAGGTGACATGCGACACTCTTGATGTCCACACCGTCCCTCTGTATCGACAGGATGGACCGGAACGGCGATGGCCATTTGAGCTACTCCGAGCTTCGAGCCATGCTCCAAAGTGATGCCTTTGACTGCGCTTATGAAGATGTGGAAGAGGCATTGCTCCGTAACGATCGTCCAGCAATGTCAAGCAGTTTGATATGAGCTGTTGGTTGTTTGAAAAAAAATGCGGTATGCTCACAGGTGCTGGAGAACATGGACGAGAATCAAGACGGCTACGTGGATTTCGAAGAAATGAAGCGGGCAATAATGGAGGACAGCTATTCGTTCTGCGTGGGTATGTGCAGATGTCACCCCAAGCTCACTTGATGTTGCGTGTATGAAAAGGCCGGCCATGAACGTATTCAGCACCACAGGATGCATGCAGAAGACACGTCACCATGTTCCAAAGTGGACAAAGCAAATGTAATTATACATGAATACAGGCGCATGACCTTCCGTGCAATTATTTGTAGATTTCATATGGAGTATATTATATATTGTAAATATCTGTAACTAATAAATAAATGAATAATAATATAAATAGATTTGTTTATCTATGCGTGCGTGTGTGTGTGTGTGTGCGTGTGGGGAGTCACGCCCTGTACCTGAGGGTTACTTGATTCTTCCTGGGTGTTCTTTTCGATGTTTTCCGAAGTAGCAGGGGGCAGAGGTGCCCATGTCACTTCCTTTCAACGAAGCTGAGTGACATTTGGCAAGGATATAGATCAAGGACGCTTGATCTACGTACCTGCGAACAGTTGTGACTACCTGTTGTTCTGTTTGATTGTTTTAGGTTTGCAATTGTAATCTTCGATTCCGATTGTCTTTTATTGCCAAGGGCTAAGCCAAGAACCCCAATCAAGTTTTGTTAACTGTTGTTCGAACTGTTCTCCTGCAGTGTTTCTCGATCCCGATTCTCCGTTATTGCCCGGGGCTAAGCCAAGAAACCTTATCATTTTTTCCCCACCTGCCAGGTGAGGGTTGTTAGATTTTATCACAGTTGCTCTCCTCCTCCGCCTCCTCATCCTCATCCTCCACCTCCTTCTCCTCCTCCTCCCTCTCCTCCAGCTTCTCCTCCACCACCTTTGCATCCACTCCCATGTTCACTTCCGCCTTGCCAACTCTTCGCCAAGCTCTTCGTCAACTTCTGCACGCAGTGGGCACTTCTGGACCTCAACTGCAAGGGTCTGAGCGCACTGGGCACCGCTGGACCTCAACCTGGGACCTTCCGAGCTCAGTGAGCACTGCTGGACCTCAACCTGGGACCCTCCGAGCTCAGTGAGCACCGCTGGACCTCAAGCTGGGACCCTCCGAGGTGAGTGAGCACCGCTGGACCTCAACCTGGGACCCTCCGAGCTCAGTGAGCACCGCTGGACCTCAACCTGGGAGCCTCCGAGGTGAGTGAGCACCGCTGGACCTCAACCTGGGACCGTCCGAGCTCAGTGAGGATGGCTGGACCTCAACCTGGGAGCCTCCGAGCTCAGTGAGCACCGCTGGACCTCAACCTGGGACCCTCCGAGCTCAGTGAGCACCGCTGGACCTCAACCTGGGAGCCTCCGAGGTGAGTGAGCACCGCTGGACCTCAACCTGGGACCCTCCGAGCTCAGTGAGCACCGCCCTCAACGGCCAGATAGAATGCCAGAAGATATGCCAGAACATTTTGCAGAAGATATGCCAGATACAGTGCCAGAAGATATGCCAGGTAGAATGCCAGATAGAATGCCAGAAGATATGCCAGATACAATGCCAGAAGATATGTCAGATAGAATGCCAGAAGATTTGCCAGTAACAAAACGTATAGATGTCATGGTGGAGATAGCTCGAAGTAAAGTTCCAGATGTCACAGAATTAACAAGAAAGACAAACAAATTCGGTGGACCAATCAGGACTCCATACAACTTACGGTCTTTCAAGTGTGTGTGACGGCTGTGGAGAGATGTACATGATAACATTAGTATACATTAGTCATAAATATTTTCGGAAACATTTGGTGCAATTTGCCATGCAGATTTGGGTGGCCTAGCTGCATGGATTCAGACCGCAGAATGGCTGGAATTTCGTACGCAGGAAGAACGTATCACATGACGTAAGATAGTATCACATAGCATCACACAAAACGCACGCATACATACAGAGACCCACACACTCATATACATGACTATACACGTATCTACCGTATGTATGTGCTATAAGGAGACTATAACATATATTTATATAGGATATTAGCTTTTGTGCGGCATCACTGCCCAGCAGTGACTTGAGCGTGGATTTTGCAAATGACATCAAACATGACCTTGGTGTTGGAGAATGACTGGATATTTTTAGGCTGTTGAACGAACTGTTGGAGAGATGGGTTAGGATGGCCGAATCGCCATGAAAGATGAAGCAGATCGTGGTGAAAGACCAGGTTGGGGGTTATTTGGTCACTTGGCTGCACTTGTCTCACGGGTAACTCAGGATGATTCAGGATGATTCAGGATGTTTTGGGATGGTTCAGGATGATTCAGGATCAAGACACATCGCAAGTGGGCCAGGGTCGATTATCAATGTGTCGCAGCAGGACCGAACAATGTGCTCCTGGCAGGACGGGGTAGGCTTCAGAACACCATTGAAGGATAGTGAAGGCACATGAAAATGTGAAAACAATTGAAAACATATTGAACACAAGAGCCTTCCTCGCTGCAACAGACTATTGAGCCCGCTGCGCCCAGGCATCTTTTGATTTTGCGGCGCATAGTGAAACAGTGAACTACACTGCGACCACTATTGCGGCAGCGCTTCAAGAGTTCCCTTCCATGTCGTCACAAATCCTGAGCTCCCTTTGACAGTCAATTTTCAATCAAAGGTGATGGTCACAGATGGTGAGTGTTCAGGAACAAAGAGGTAAACTGCCCAACTCACATTCACAAAGATTCAGATAATATCAGGTGATGCAGTGTTGCAAAATGTGTTAGATATCATCTAAGTTTTTACATGTAAACACATTAAATGACTTTGTCACAAGCGGATTTAGACAAGGAAGGCCAAGGCAGCGCCGAAGTTTCATCTGCACAGAACTTTTGCCAGCGCTTATTTTGCATCCAGAAAAAGGCATGGAATGCAACATGAATGTCCGAATGTCCGACACGGTAAGAGGGTAGCGAAGTTGCACCTGTCCAAAATATCAGTTTTGCTGAACGCATAAAAAGATATAAAAAGTGCACAAGGCCATGAGGTGAAGGTATGATGAAGCTATTCCTGAGTGAAAGTTCTGTTGTTTCAGGATGCGGTAGTGTGTTGTTGGATTGTGATGGCCTGTTCTCAAAATATGTCGCACAACAGTGACAAACAGACAATGGGAACTGTAAGTGCAATCCACAAAGGGTTTCCCTTTCGTGCAGCTGCCAACAGTGGCAGAGTTTGCGCCCCTTTTCTTGATGCACACCAGTACAGCCAGGGTGTCCTTTCGAGGCCCACTGTGTAGCCCAACATATCACCCAGAGGTTGATAAAGTCATGATACATCAGATAAGAAATAAGACTTGTGATCAAAATATAAATCTGTTGGTGTTGCGTCGCTGCGGCGCAGCACTTCCTCGCCTAGGGCTTGGCCTTGCCGAGTGGAATTCGCCTGGTGGTGCATCCGCTCCAGCCAAGGAAACTCAAGCTCTGCAATGCTCTATAGAATTTATATATTATTATATATTATTTATATGTCATTCTACATCTACCTATACCAAACCTATTGAACCTATCAAACCTATTGCCTATCACATATTTCTGCGGGATGCAGGAAATCAAGTGACCACAAGAAGTCGTGTATAGAGGAAGTTCGGAACTGATGTGATACATACATTATTGTTACTTATAATCGTATTACCACAGTAATGTTTTTTTTGTCCCTAGCTTCAGGGAAGGGAGAGGGTGAGAAAGCAAATGATTCAGCCATTGTCACGATTGTCACCAGGTCACCCTGCGCTTAGACGTTGATGGCGCTTGTGTGTTATGTTTTGCGTGATAAATGCTCCCCTGGATCCTTCAGCCTGTCGTCGGTGCCATGATGCCATGACCCTTCCCAACATTTCCCAACCTTTCAGCCATTGTTCACCTAGATTTTCGCAAAAGCACCGCTGGCACAGGAAGCCTTTCGCTCGCATTTTGGACAGGGCCCGATTGTGACCAGGCAGCACAGGAGAGACATTGACAAAATGACAAAAAAGAACATGTCATTGACGAAATGTCATGCCTGAGCTAAGGATCCCCGTTGTGTCGGATGCCATTTTCCGCTTGCTTGGAACAAGTCCCAACGATTCTCAATGCACCACGATGCTGGGATGTTGGTGCAGGCCAGAAGGGTCTTGGCGCATGTTCTGCCATGTGATTTACGTGGCAGATCATGAGAGTACCTGGAAACGGGGTACCTGCGATCTTGTCCATTGTGAAAGCATAGTGAGGGTTCAAGTAGAGGTGTAAGGGTTTGACATGGTTTGCCGGGCCAACCAGCAGCTTTCAAGAACATGTTGTGCAGAGTATGCCCCTTGCTTTCTGCAAACAGAAAGGCAAGGGAAACCAATTCTCACTCCTCACTCCGCTCTGGCCGTGCCACATTCTTTGATGGTGCAGCACCAAGAAATATGATTATGTGCCCCACTGATTGGAGTACCTGGCAGACAGGAACGGAAGCCTGAAGTACATCAAGGCAGAGCCAGGTCAGGCTCTGAAATCGAGGATGTCTCAAGGTTGGCAGTGAGCAAACAAAAACAAAACGAGACATAACACTCATGATCTTACGCATGCATGCAAAGCTCAGCAGATTGCCGATTTTCTCCATGACAGCCAAATTGAATCAACGACTTGTATTTCCACCATGTACATGTTGCAACACCCTCATACATACGTCAAAAGAAACGAGACTGTGACCTGCGGCCACTTCCAAGTGCTCAAACACTTTGAGAGACTTTGTAGGTTTTGAAAGGCTTTTTGAGGAAATATGGCCACCGATGCGGATAAAGATCGACGATCGCGCATGGCCATATCCACCGTCCATGCTCCGCCAAAAAAGGGTGGCGCTGGTGGCCACTTCACATGGGGTTCAGCTACAGATACCTCCATGGACTTTGATGCCGCTCGGGGACATTTGGCATGTCATAAGTATACACAATTATCATACAATTATCATATATAATCATATGTATATATTATGTATATAAATATATATATAATCAGATTTATTATTATATGATATTACATTATATCATATGATCATAATTCGGAATGCGTTCCAGGAAATTCCAGGAGAGAATCGGAGAGAATGGAATAGCGAATGGAATAGAACAGTTCCTGCTTCGTTCCGTTAATTGTTGAAGACAAACTTGTTTTACCTCCACCTCAACATACTGAGCTGCATTGACATACTGTTCATTGATTAATTATTCGTTGACTCAATTCCTGCAACATGGTTTTCTTGGAGGAATTGAAGTGTCGTGTCACGGTGTCACAGCATGTCACAGCGTACTGCACAGCGTACTGCACAGCTTCGAGGCGAGCAGGGTGCAGCAGCCTGTCAAGGTGATCACAGGTGCTCCCGTGGTTCAGCAAACAGCAGCCGCCGGTACCCCCTTCACGGCCAACTTGGCAAGTGCACAGCAGTTTCCATCGCTTGGAACGCGGACACTCTACGGATCTCTACGGTATTTAACAGTGAACTAAAGCATACTAAAGCACCAATTGAATAGGATTGTAGTTGATGCAGACTTTACGGATCTTTACGGTTTCTTCCCGGCCGAAAAGAGTTCCATGTTCATCCATTTTCCCTGTACGGGATGGTATGAGGCTGTGAGATGCTGTGAGCATATGCAGCAATATAGTGCAATAATGTGCAATAAAATTATTGATGATATTATATTCATTAATTAATGTTCATTACCGTCACAGGATCTCAAGCTCATATGCAGCTCAATGGTTACAAGACCGTCACTTGTTCACTTCAGGACTGTGACTGCACCAATGGCAAGCAGTGCATGGGCAGCACGGCCGCCCATAGTTGCGGCGGCCGGTGCAGTTTCACAGCCAGCTGCTCGCCGTGATAGCGTCCGACTGTCACAGCCTGTCTCATTCTCTCCTGTTACATCTCCTTACTAGCAAATGCAGCAGAGGTTGCGGTTGCGCAGGTTATTCATTCCACAAGACTGGCATCAATTCAGCACTCACCGGGCCTTGTTCATTGTTTGCTCTGACGCACCTATATAGTTGTAGCAGTAGCATGTTGTAGCCAGATACCGAAAAGGAATGAAAAGTCGATGAGAGTCATTTGGACCAGACTCGAAAGAGTAAAGATGTGCAATTCGAGCTGAAGTTGTTCATTTCTCCTTGCCGGTCCCCAAGTTTTGTAGCTGCTTTGGGAATCTTTGGCTGCTTTGTTGTGCCGGTATTGGCTGGCAGGTCACAGCCGGTGCGCCTGTGGCTACGATGGCTCCAACCACTGTTCAGCCGCGGCCGGTAGTGATGCAGCCAGCCACTAATGCTATGAATGCCAGCACACGAACGATTACGATGACTCTTTGGCTTTGCACATCTTTATCATTGCACTGCGGGGCACTATAGATGCAAAACTTGTTCAATTTGTGACCTATTTGTGACCCTTTGCAACCTCCTCCAAAGCTGGTTCCATTTGTTGATCGCTTCTGCTGCTGTAATTATTCCCATTTTGAACCCGAACCCATCTCAGAATCTCCATCCAATCTCCATCTCCTTTGGCTCAGGACACCACAAACTATTCAAGCACCGTATCCAGCAAGCATCCCAGCAAGCTACCAAATGAGCCAAATGGCGTATGCTGCACCAGTGGCTGCACCTCGGGTGATCAAGGAGGTCGCGGATAAAGATCGCCGCTCTCGCATGGCATATTCCACCTACCATCAGGAACCAAAGAAAGGAGGGGCTGGTGGCGCGTATACCTGGGGCACCGCTGGCGATGTGTTCCTCGTTCGCATGTTGGGAAGGCGGTTCCAGTATGTTCCAGTTGCTGCATGTTCGTCATATGTTCTCCAGCACTTTAAGTTGTCTCTACGTTGTCTCTACGTTGTCTACATGTTCAGAATTCAATTACAGTGGCAAGAAGATAGCAGCATGCTGGAACTGAGGCAGGACTACGATCCGACCACAGTGCAAGCAATTGAGTCCAAGGTGACCACGGCACCCACTCCAGTGAGCCAAACAGTCGCTGCAGCCACTCCCTTCACAGGCAACATTTCAAGTGCCCAGCAGTTCCCATCCCTTGGCTCCTCCGGCCAGCCGCAGCCTAGCTCTCCGTGGGCAGCAGCACCTGCTTCCATCAAGGAGATCGGAAGATGAAGATGGGAATAGGATTTTACATGTTTTTACATGTTTTTACATGGTTAAATCATGTTAAATCGGCACGGTATTAATATGTATTAACCGTCGCACTTCAGTGCATCTTCAATGTTTGACATGTTTGCTTGTGCATGTTCCACTATGTCCATTTTTGTTCTTGCGCTTGTTTCTCAAAAGAGGGAACATGTCAATGGGAAAAAGATGGATAATGTCAGTGTGGCCACTCAAAGTTGAACCAGAAGCTTCAACGAACATACCCAGAGAATCCCGGATATACCAGGTATTTCATGCGAGACCGGCAAGCTAAGCCACCATCCATGCCGATAATATATCAGTGATGATGTTATGTTTTGTTTGTTTGTGCCCACTGGTGCGTTGAGTGAATGAGGATTTTGCTCCGACTTCACTGAGCTCTTACCCCACATAAGACCAAATGATATCAAATAATATATCAAAGAAAGTCCACAAGTGCACATAAATGGACACAAGCCAGCGCTTGTCTAAGCCCAAGTGACGCTATATCAGGTTATTTTACTTGCCCAAGTGACGCTATATCAGGCTATTTTACTTGCTTGTGAACAGGGAGTTGGCAGTGTCTATCAACAAAGTTTAAACAATCCCTTAGAGTTCCAAAGGGTCTGTGAGTTTCAATTCTTGGATTTCTCACTGTTATTAGGGAGCTCCGGGTTTCTGGCATCATCTCACCCTGGACTTAGGAAAACGTGCCATCACGGATGATCGTCGCATTTTGTCTTTTCAAAAGTTTGCTATAGATATATATATATACATATATATATATATGATATATGCTTTTCTCTACAGGTTTTTGCCAGCTGGCCTTGCCTAACTCTTGATGACGTTTTGAAGCCATACGGGCCATACGGGTTTATTTGAGACTACTGATTCTTTGAGGGCCTTGATTTGCCGTGAAGGGTGGGTCCTACATGGTTCTAGCACAGCATAAGGAGGGAGTGAATTATTACTATTATATTGACGCCCAATATTATCAATATTATATACGTATCAATTGTTACTGTAACCCAGGCTCTTGACGCTATGAATTCACAAATGATCAAAACAATTGACCATGAAATACCATGAATCCTATGTTCCACAGCGGTATCGCGGCAGGAGCCTCCTGTGATGACTGGCCCCACAGGAACAACACCAGCAGGTTCTCCTGGATTGGTTCCAAGTCCTGCTCCTGTGGCATCTCCACCTGGTCCAGTTCCAGCAGCCGATCCTGCAGCACCGCCACCAGCTGATTCAACAGAACAGCAGCTTTCCTGCAGAATTCACAGTTGAGTTGCAGATTCAACCAAAAAAAAACATATATATAATTATAGAGAAAGAACTAGAGATGCAAAAAGATCAAACAGCATGCAGAAAGTCTGGTAAATGATCACATGCAACGTAACAAGGCAGTGTAGAGCTCATCCGGTTTTTCATTGTGAAAGGGTTGAGAGTCAACTGCAAGCTCGTGGATTGGATTTGCCAAGCTGTGCACAGACCGATTGTTCCATGTGAAACTCCAAGGAAGGACGGCAAGAATTGCTCTATTCAGTGAGGCGAGGCTAGACACCGGCAGGCGGACCGATCTTCGGTACCCTGCTGGCTTATTTATTTTCTACGTTTTTCTACCCATGTTCGCTGAAATGGCACGGTGCAAATGCTTAGATTGCTAGGGGATTGCACCGCATCTCGAGTTTTGCTTGAGACACTATGCGAGAAAGGCACAGGTTGTCGCATCTTTTGGAACGGAAAAAGGGGTCTCGATCGTTGCAAGCTGATGCAAGCTGCTGATCTGATCTATGATCATTTTTGATCATAAATGATTTCGGGATATTTCGGGTATATGGCTGGCACTGGTAAATTTTCCCATAGTTTCAGATCTTGACAGTGCGACACTGCAGACTTTGATGCTCAAATTGGTTGCTCTCAAGAGCACCAGCTAAACTTGAGCCGTTTGCGGCGTTTGCGACCTGGACGTCGTTTGAGCATGGCAAAAGGCAGTCAGTTGCTCAACATGTTTCCTTCCAACTGCACACCAGCAAGGCATTGGGTAGAACGGTTCAGTGGCTCCTATCTTCCTGCTTCCAGATGCTTCCAGATGCTTCCAGATGCTTCCAGCGTCTTTCTGCTACACTGCTACACTGCTACACTTAGCAGATCTTAGAAGCTACACGCAGAATCACATAGCTACACGGCTACACAAATTCGATTGCAGATTTATCAACATCGCCTCAGGACGGTGGCTCCTTCTTCTGGGCGGCATTCTAGTTACAGGCATTGTCCTGGGTTTACCAGGACCTGTGCCAGCATGTGCCAGTGTGAGTCTTGGGATTATACAAATGAAATCGATTTGAATCGTTTTTCTGAAATTTGTGGAAACTAGATGAAACTAGGTTCCAGTGCTGCAGCATGGTTCATTGTAACATGATTTACGACACCCTAGCTAAATCACTTACCACACAGGCAGCTATCGACAAGTGACCGTCCTTTGCTTTTTGCGGCAAACAGCAGAGAATCCTGAAAACAAAGCAGCTGCACAATGCTGCACAAGATTAGGCACAAAATCACACAAATAAACGCTTGATAACACTTGCACATTGGTGACAGGTAGCCAGATTTTCCGCGCTGAAGCGATGGTATTGCCGGAGAAAGCCACTGTGGAGACGCATTTTGTTTGCAACCAGAATGGTTCAGAGTCAGCCTGGCTCTATGTGACCTGTTGTGACTTGCTGTGACCTGTAGATATGTCCTGATATGTTTGATATGTTTGGATCAGTGTGTTGAACATGTTTGAGGATGGCGTCGTTGCTTGCAGCCCTGGCGAATCTTTGCGTTGCAGCGGGGGCCCCAATGAATCGCAGCCGAAACTGTTACAAGCACTGTCACAAATATATTAAATATCATGACGTGTCAGGATTCAGTTTTGGCATTTTGTGGCACTTGGGTTTGCAACTTGGGAGGGCACGGACACATCGGGGCGGACGTGTCACATCATGTCTGAGGAAACACAGAAAAACATAGAACCTTTCAACATTTTTCAACATAAGACACACTCGAAGCATCTCAAGTTGGAGTGGAGGAAACATGAGGTGACTATATACTGTGACGCTATGGGGAAAATGTGAAGATGGTGATGACAATTACGATAATCCCACGCAATCCCCATGTTCATAGAATCCACCAGGTCATAATTTCTGCAAGTCTTGCGAATATTCTCCCGGTATTATACGGAGCTTTGTAGTGCTTTTCAGTGCTGCACACTTTTGTGCCAAACAGTTTGAGGATTGTTTGAGGTGGCTTCAGTTGCACACCAGTTGATCTCCAACCTCGTGTAGGTCGCGATGATTTTCCTTGTCAGCAAACTCGCCACCCTGGACTTCCAGGTAGGGAGATGAACGTGTGTGGCCTGCACTGGGCCACCAGTTAGAGTTGAGACTTGAGAGGACGTCAGCACTCTTAAGCACTCTTCAGCATCGTTGCAAGATGTTGCAATATGTTCATGCATTTTCTGGATACAACATTATACAACATGAACATGCTACAGCCTAGTGCAATTCGCACACAGAGAAACAGATCATGATTCCCCTGCACTTTCTTGGATATTTCACCGTTCCAATACCGTTCCAGCAGTCGCAGTGTTGCTGAATTTGGAGCTTCAACTCCTTAAAACAATTGAATATTTGATATTTACATAGATATATTTAGATTCTTCCAGATGCTCACACGCGTTCACTCTATATGCTCACTGCTTCAAGTTTGTGCATTGTGACGCCTTGTTTCATGTGTCGCCAGGGAATCCGAGGGCGAGGAGCATCGATAGATGCGTCAGGTGCCATATTATTTCTAGCTGTGGACTGGACACTGTAGACATCTGTAGAGTTAATTGGGAGTGGTCAGGGCATGCCCACAGCATTCGGTTTAGGTCGGACCTACCAACTGAGGTAGTGGCGGCATGTAGGGATATGTAGGGGCTACAACATCATACCAAATTTAAACAACGCAGGAAAGCCGTTGTCATTGATATAGCAAGACAGGAGTGACAAGTGACGGGCAAAAGAGAGAAGGTCGGGGAAACAAAGAAACCCCGAAAACGAAAAAAAATGAATTACTTTACTTCGTGTGATCCCCACCATGACATTTATACATTTTCTTACTGGCAAATCTTCTGGCATTCTATCTGACATATCTTCTGACATTCTATTTGGCATTCTATCTGGCATATCTTCTGGCATATGATCTGGCATATCTTCTGGCATATCTTCTGGCATTCTATCTGGCAAATTTCTGGCATTCTATCTGGCATATCTTCTGGCACTCTATCTGACATATCTTCTGGCATTCATCTGGCATATCTTCTGGCATATCTTCTGGCATATATTCTGACATATCTTCTGGCATTCTATCTGACATATCTTCTGGCATATATTCTGATCTGGCATATCTTCTGGCATATCTTCTGGCATATCTTCTGGCATATCTATCTGGCTTATCTTCTGGCATATTTTCTGGCATTCTATCTGGCAAATCTTCTGGCATTCTATCTGGCATATCTTCTGGCATATTATCTGGCATTCTATCTGGCATATCTTCTGGGCATATCTTCTGACATTCTTTCTGACATTCTTTCTAACTTTCTTCTGCACATTCTTTGTCCCATATCTTCCTACATGAGGTCCGGCAGGGAACACTTGGCGTGGATACTCGCGGTTGAGGTCCGGCAGGGAACACTGGGCGTGGATGGTCGTGGTTGAGGTCCGGCAGGGAACACTGGGCGTGGATGGTCGTGGTTGAGGTCCGGCAGGGAACACTGGGCGAGGATGGTCGTGGTTGAGGTCCGGCAGGGAACACTGGGCGTGGATGGTCGTGGTTGAGGTCCGGCAGGGAACACTGGGCGTGGATGGTCGTGGTTGAGGTCCGGCAGGGAACACTGGGAGTGGATGGTCGTGGTTGAGGTCCGACAGAGAACACTGTGGATCGCGAGTCGCAGTTGAGCAGGAGGACGAGGAGGACAACGAGAGGAGGAGGACAACGAGAGGAGGAGGAGAACGAGAGGAGGAGGAGAGGAGGAGGAGGAGGAGGACCAGGCAACTGACATAAAATCTAACAACCCTCACCTGGCAGGTGGGGAAAAAAAATCCTTGCAAACACTTTGGCGGTTTCTTTGCCCGATTGAAGGGCTTGTGCGGCAGCCATTTTCTACCAACATCCAACAAAGGCATAGAGGCATAGAGCAAGCCAAACAAAAGCCAGGCTGCAGCCGTGGAAACCTTTGTCAGTTGCAGACTGATGACGATATAAGATGATGTTGACTTTGTTCTGCAGCACTGCTTTGGGTATTGTTTTCCTTGTGTTTTACCAACTCCGTAGACACTACTTTTTGGGCAAGTTCAACCACACTTGAGCATTCTCTCGTTCTGTTTACAGTAATTTATACTTTCTTCGAGTGATCATCCCCACCCCGAACCACTATTCTGACATAGTTTCTGACATACCATTTGGAAGTATATATGGCGTATTTATTCTATTTTATTCTGACATTCTATCTGACAATATCTGACATTCTTTCTGGCATATACTTTGACATTTTATCTGACATTCTATCTGGCATCTATTCTGACATACTTGCTGGCATCTATTCTGACATACTTTCTGGCATATCTTCTGGCATTCTTTCTGCATTCTATCTGGCATCTATTCTTACATTCTATCTGGTATCTTTTCAGGCATTCATTCTGGCATTCTCTCTGGCATATGTTCTGACATTGTCTCTGACATTCTTTCTGGCATATGTATCTGGCACATCTTCTGACATCCTTTCCGGCATTCTATCTGGTATATCTTCGGAGATTCTTTGTGGTTGAGGTCCGGCGGGGAACACTCTGATCCGGAGCTTGCAGTTGAGGTCCGCCGGAGGAGGAGGCGGAGGCGGAGGCGGAGGTGGAGGCGGTGGGCCAGCTGACATAAAATCTAACAACCCTCACCTGACAGGTGGGGAAATATACTGCAGACATATTGTTTTCATATTGGAATTACACATATGCGCAACAATTCTGCCCCCAGCGACTGAGGTGCTCCAGTGATGGGACGCCAAGTGTCGCAAACAAAGGAAGCTTCTGAGCTCGGCCCAAACGCCTATGAGGTCTCGGAGGAAAAGAAAGACGGAAGAAAAACAGTTTCGAGCCTCGTTCTTAAACTGCGCCATATACTGCACCGCTACAGATGCTACTGAGGTGTTCTAACAGGTTCCAATCTTAGGGAGGTTCCCTTCCAAGTTTGTCAGATTGGAACGATTGTAAACCCTGTTGTAGAACTCTGCCCAGAATCAAAGACACATTCACTTTACACCGGTCATTTGCAGTGATTGTAGACAAAGTAGGCACGCGATGCATACCTTGCATGGCTCCTCGTTTCAACGTGATAATGGGTTTGAATATGTTTGAATATCATGTGGGTTCGAGTATCCCAAGCCCCAAGAGGTGATTCCCCGAACAAATCGAACAATAGATGATTTGTTTGCCCAAATCTTCATAAGCCCTTCCAAGATCTTCCAAGATCTTCCAAGATTTCTAGCCCTTCTCATTGGGGTGATCGCCTTTTGGGGGGGTTGAACCCCTGTGAGAATGGGCTATATATATTGTGATATTGTGGCTATTGCCTTCAAAATTATTTGGCGGCCTATGCATTTGCCTTGGTTGCCTTGGCCTCTTGCAGATTCAATTCTTGGGCAGAGCACCTTTTCGTATTTTTTGGGTGATTTTGGTGTATAATTCGGTACAATGTACCAACTTTCATCTTGCTTCATGGTGCCAACAGTGTTAACAGTGCTAACCTTTTGCGATGGTTTGCACTTCTTCTAGGCTGAATGCTTTGGATTGTCCTCTGGGCGGAGCTGTCACGCTGAACGTGTTTGCTTGATCAGTGCCGCACAAGGACCTACCTGCAGTCCAAGACGGGCGAAAGCATCATGATTCAAGACTCTCCCGATGCCATTAAAAACATGAATCCCGGCGAGGAAAGGCTTCACTTCAAAATACTTCAAACAAAGTGTTCTTTTCTCTTGGGGCAAAGATGCAAGAGCTGGTGTGGGTTTCAAGGGACATCCTGTTTGATTGTAGCGGTGAAACGCCGCGCAACGACACAGCCCAGGAAGAGCGTGTTCATGAGGCTCTGCCAATCTTCCAAAGAACAGATCTCGGTGACACAACGGAATTATGAATGTGACGTGAAATGTGCAACAGTCGTATAATATAATATATTTATATAGTTGGTTTCCGTATTATATAGGTTCGCATACGGTATCTACGGAGAAGCGTGGGCATTTTAGGTGGAAGATCTTGCACCAAGAGGCATCAGCATGCATCAGCAACCCCTAGTTTTGCTAGCTCCAAGGTCGGCGATGTTGTCAAAGTGCACAACCTGTTGGGTGAGCCAATTGATGAAGATGAGGAGACACTGCCTTCTGAATGACACCAATTTGGATTGAACTGCTGGGGGACTACTAGGATTCCTGTGATACTTTATTGATCCAGATTGCAGCACTCGCAGCAATTTGTAAAGTCATGCGAAGTCACAAAATATCGCAAATATATTGTTTCAGCGTGCATGCGCTACGATCGCAGATCCATAATTCAAAGATGCTGCATGGATACAGCCTTCCAGACTGACAACCATTGCAGACCCATACAACCTTCGCAAATCCTCGATTATCTTTGTAGGTGGTTGCTGTGGGAGTAAGATGCTCGCTTCCTTGGCCGCCGCAGGAGAAGCAGTTGATGGAGTTCTTCAAAACAAACTCAAAATCGTTCCTCGGTTAGTGTGTTTGAATGTGTTTGATCTAAGCATGTGTTGTATTGGTCAGTTTTCATAGCTTTCTCATGTTCCTCCGATGTTCTGTTCGCGCCTTGCTCATTTGTATGGTTGGAGTGAAGATAGCGAAGCACATTCAGGCAGAAGAGCATGCCGGTGATTGCATCACTCAGAGATACTCAAAGAGCAGCACAGCAAGCGTAGTGGGAACATCTACTGTAGGGCCTAGAAGCATGTCAATGTCAAAGTAATGAGTGTACTTCACACGTCTTTGGGACCAAGTCTCTTCCCAAACGACAACTCCTGAACAACAAGCTGTTGTTTGTCCACTTGACTAAATTCTGCTAAATTTTGCCAAATTGGTAAATTTCATGCGAGACAGCGACAGATCTAAGGACTGCCTGCATCACCTTTGACATGTTCATGCGGTGGTGGAGCGAGCTTCACGACAGCTCCGCTGACCCGGACCAGTGCCAAGCTTCCACAAATTTCAACAATCTTAGACTCTTAGACAAGCTTCCATTTTTGTGGGTTTGTGGTATGTTGTTTTGTGATGTTTCACTCTTGTGGTTCCCATCAGCTTAGTATTTCTAGCAATTTGTAGCGTGTCCTAAATCGCGTCCTTCCCAGAATTGCGATGTGCGGTGCACGGCCTCGATGCATCCAATGCTAGGTACTACTCCAACGAGCGATACCGTCAGCGCTTCAAGGTGCTTCACTCTCGTTTGAAGGACCCAAAACTTGCTCAAATCACAGCTGTCAAGGACTGCGGAGCTTGTATCAGCGGGGGTGAGCATGATTGAAAAATACGGAATGCTGAGTACACTATTGATCGGTTGCAAGTTGGGATTTGTAGGCACGTATAACAATTAAAATATACATATAATATATTGAAACCCCTGCATTTGTTTCGTCGACTCCATACTAAAAATCACGAGAGTTCACAAGAGATGGGGGATTTGTCAAGGCCTGAGGTTGGCTTCCCTGCACTTTGCAGGAAGGAGATGTTAGTTCCAGACGTTTCCGAGTATGGTTCGAGTGCGACGGCACTGGACTATCACCTTGGCATGACATCCCGCTTCGAAATGCCGATGGCTCTTACAACTTTGTTTGTGAAATCCCGAAGTGGACTAGAAAGAACCTCGGAGGACATCAAAGAGGACACCAAAGATTCATAAAGATTCAGAGTGGTAGTACTTATATTGTGATGGAGTGGTGAACTGCCTAAATACTGCGTCTGAATGAGGGTAAGATTTCTGATTCCACAGAACTTGGGAGAATGCGTGTCATTCTGATTCATTCTGACCGTAAGTTGCAGAGTGTCTTTACCTATTTGTATGTGGTGGTTTGTTTCATCCTTATTTGCGTCAATAGGTGATATTACCTGATCGTGTGTTTATCATGTTGTATCTAGAAATAATTGCGGGATATAATGATATCTGAATATATTTGATATGATATATCAAGTGCTTCTGGTTTGGACTCAGCATGTCTCAGCCCATGAATGCCCCAAGTGTTTTCCTCGTTTTTCCTCATCTCCGGATACGTCATGACACGTCACAAGGAAGTATGAGATTGCCACTGGCGAAGCCATGAATCCAATCAAGCAGGATGTGAAGAACGGTGTGCTGAGAGAGTACAAGTGGGGGGACGCATGGCAGACTTCGGGCACAAAATCACCTCTTTAAACTAAACTATTAACTTAACTATTGACTGCTGTAGGCTACTCTACTGTATTGCTGTACAGCTTTTGATGCTTTTTGATGGTTCTTGTCAGCTCCGTTGTAGACACTTGAGTGGAGATTTGCGTGGAGACTTGTATGGCATGTGTCGAGATGGGATGGTGCCACTGGTAACACTCAAGCTGAAGCCCAAGGATATGCTCTTCAACTATGGGGCTTTCCCTCAGACATGGGAAGACCCCAAGCATGTAAGCGAGGATACGGGCTGCCCAGGAGACAATGTGACTCGCCACCAAGACAACAAAACAATCAGACAACTCGGACATACTGAATCGTGCTGCCATAGTATGTGTATATATATATATATTTGGATATCTTCGATTGAGAATACCTCTGCGTGCCTGCGACAGGGCAAACGAAAGCGCAGAGATATCACATGAGTGGAGCTGAAGCACAACAGGGTCTCAAAACGTCTCAAATGGTGATCTAAATGGCAATGTGGATTGAGGATCAGTGGGCCCTGCGCCTGCAACCAAGGATCCAGTGGATGTCATTGAGTTGGGTTCCCGGCAGCGACCCGTTGGTTCTATCACAGCTGTCAAGACGCTTGCATGTTTGAGTTTGTTCAACATTTTTGAATATTGTTGAGAGATTGAGAGATGTCAAGAGAGTGTTGTACTGTGTCCTACAATCTGCTCACCAAAGTGGAGGCAAACTTGGTAGGGGCTCTGCGGCATGTTGCAGCATGACTCAAACATGTTCGGGGAGCAACACGGAAGAAAAAAAAGAAGAACTCTTGACAGGAGATACATACAATGCTTGGTTTATCCGAATATGTCCCGACTCTGAATGGTGTTCCATCCTGAAGGAATCTAAAGGATAGGGAAGTGATGGGACATGGACTGTGACCCTGGAATTCAAGCATTTTCAACCTTCTTCGACATTCTTCGACCATCGACCGTCGACCATCTGGTAAGGATCCTTGGCGTTATTGCTATGATCGATGATGACGAGACAGACTGGAAGGTCCTGACGATTGCGCTTGATGACGACAAAGCTCAGATTCTGAGCACAAAATAGCATCAAGATGCTGCGGAGCATTGTGCAGTTGAATTTGTGTACTCTTTTGATCCCTTCGATGGGCGTGCATGCACTTGGGCCGTTTACGGGTATTTACGGGTGTTGCATGATTGTTTCCATGTTTTATGATGTTTTATGAATGTTTCTGACACAGTATCAATATTAGTTTTCACATGGCCCCCATATGTTCCCGATCCCAATGGCAGCTGCCAGCCCTTCCCAAGGAACATGCATGATCTCGGTGACGTGGATGCTCACTTTCCTGGCATGACCTCTGCCTTGACTGATTGGTTGCGTATGCAGCCAGACGCCATCAGACGCCAATAAATCAAGGCAGACATGGCTCTAATCGAATCTTATTAGATTCGATCTTATTGGATCTTACATTTTCTTACATTACTGTATGATATGTTTTGCTTTGGCCCGCCTGTGACTGTGAGTGTCCTGTGACAGGATTCTGTTAAGAGAACGATTGAAACAGCATGCATGCTAATGCCTTTGCAGACTTCTTTTGCATCAGCCTCATCAGCTGCTTGGTAGCGGGATGGTGCAAGATAGGCAGGCAGCTTCAAATGCTTAGGTACAAGACAGCCGAGGGCAAGAAAGAGAACAAGTTTGGCTTCGGTGGAAAGCCTCAGGGCGCAGCTTTTGCGAGAAAAATTGTAGACCCTTGGCAAATCTTGGCAACAACAGACAAAAGCATGCCAGCACATCCAGGGCGGTCGTTCAATATCATTGAAAGCTTCAAGCGGAGCACTGGTGGTGAGTATTTGCTGGGGCCATTTAGTAGCCAAGAGCACCCCACCTTTCCAGCTGAGAGGATATGTAAAGATCTGCAAAGCTCATTTTCATTCTCCATCTAGCATATCATAGCATATCATAGCATATCATAGCATATATCATAGCATATCTAGCCAATCTATCTCTAGGGAAAGTAGCCGTTTATTTGTTTATGGAGTTTTACAAGGCAACAGCTCGCCAGCAGGCAACCTTTGTTTGAGTCAGACGGTGTTGAGGTGTTGCCATCAGCATAGACTTTCCACATACTTTCCGCAACAAAGGATCCAGCCTGGCAAACACTTACACACACTTATACATAAGTCATATGTTTTTCTGCACACTGTATACAATCTGCGTGTGTCTCTCTCTCTATTTATAGTAGGTGTATATAGATAAGTATATATATATATTTGTGTGCTTGTCTGTGCGTGTGTGGTGCCTCCTACTGTATAGAGAATAATGAGAATATTACATTCAGATGTATGTTTGCATGTTCTAAGTGAGTCATGGTCAACATGGTTGAAAACCACTGTAAAGCACTTTTGTCAGATGTGTACGAAAGACCGAAAGACTGTAAAGCGATAGGGAACCCTCCAAAAGTGATAATGGCACAAAACACTGGAAAGCGATATAGCACCCCCAAAAGCCATAACCATGATGATAAGTACATGTAACGGCTGAGATGTAGGGATTTTTTGACGGGAGCTCATATTCTTTTTTTGTTTCTTTTTATGGTTTGACTATGTCATGCGCATTCTTCCGAAATGTTCTTGGTCAGTACTCGGGATATCTCATCCAGCCTTCATTGAGGACGAGACCCATCAATCATGGCGAAAGCTCATGGCTGCGGCCGATGAGAAGGGCAAGGCGGGCACTTCCGGAAGTGGTCCGTTCTGCTGACTCGGCGTCTCTCTTTATGGTCGTTGATGCTGGGAAGAAAAAATGGAAAGCCTTGCCCATCCTTGCCCAATGATCGAGATTCTAGGACCACAAGCTGTTCCATACGTCGGTGATCTGTTTTGCGGCGCGGTTCCTCGCCCATTCTTCTGTTTGTATGTCTTCATTTTTTGCTGCAGACTCGCAGCAGAAGCGACCAGGTAAAGAAGGTGGCCAGCGGAGCAAACCTCTATACAGATTTGGCACTCGGAGACTCGGCTTGTTCGTTTGTCAACCTCAGCCGCCTAGCCACACTCCGAGAAAACCGGCTGACAAGTTGACAAAAGCACAAGTTCCTGACATCATGCGGCCTCTTTCAGTTCAGTCTCGGCTCTTCTGAACCGAGGCGATGATGACGAAGATTGAGTTGACCGGGAGAGCAGACTTGGAAGTCATAATCAAAAGCCTCAAGAGAGAAAAAACAACCGAGTAGCCCTAGAACAGCCTCTCGCCCAAATTCTTCCTGCCATGTGCTTGGTAGCTTTCCTGAGCTGTTGGTTTCCATGTCGATCTTAGAAACTCGGGCGGCTTGAAATGACAAGCCAATTTTTCGGCTTTGCTCAAAGCAGCATCTCTAAATGCTTTTGGCAGAGCTCTCCTTGGGTCTTAATTCTCCCATCGCTTAGCAACTCAGCATGTCAGTCATGCCATCAATCTTGGGCCAGAAGTGAGAAAAGGGGCATCACGGACTCACAGAGGCTGGGCTGCGTGTACCATGCAACTCAGAGAAGTCAGATTCAGAACGAATGCAACATGATTTCAGAATGATTTCAGAATGATTCAGTTGCTGTTGGGTCCATCTCGGTCCAAACCAGAGATGCACCACACGTACTGACTATATCTGACTATATCTGACTATAGCGGCCTAAGGTCAGATCTTTCGCCTCTTCTTTGGTCCAGGCTCTGCATTTATTCCCCGACCAGGTGGGCAATCCCCGTCTGGTGACAAAGCTGGAGTCCATTTGGAGGTAACAATTTAAGATGATTTAAGAATTTCAACATGGAGTCGATGGAGTCCAGTGCAGGTATGTCAGGTATGTGGTGCGGATATGCAGGTGATTTCAGGTATGTGGTGCGGATATGCAGGTGATTGCCGGTGCATGGTGTTGAACAGGTCATGCACCCACTGGGCAGGTGATTGGTTTTGTGGAAGCTGCCAAGCACGCAACTGCAGGGATCGCTACTTTTGCTGATTGGCTGCATTAAGATTCATTTGAACTCATTTGATTCATTTAGCACGATTGAGCACCCTGCGTTTCCAGTGCACGTCGCTGTAAGCATTCACATGATACGGCAGAGATCGGCAGAGAGGGTTTATTCTTGGGAGAGTGCGGGATCTATTTCCAGACAAACCGAAGATCAAGCACATTGAGCCGACCTGACGCCAAGGCTGGCGCTGCAAGCCTCCGAGTCCAATCACATGTCCTGGTACTGTCAAGGCATGGATTGGGCAGAATTGCTTGGGTCCTCCACTCTGGAGCAACTATTAAAGTGGTGAGCGGCGTTACAAGCGACATTTGTCACTGCTCTAACCCTAGAATTTCGTTCATTTGGCACATGAACCACATTTCAGTGATTTGTAAGCATCGACATCCCATTCCATCCAACTGCATACTTCAACCAAGTGGAATCAAAGATAATCAAGTTGTAAAAGGACAGCCTGCTCCACTGGAAGCGCTTCCAGAATCAATGAGGCCCAAGTGAGTTCCTATTGTGAACAGTTTAGACCATATGCATTGACAAGCAATTTGGTGACGTGCAAGCCACAAGCAGCAAAAGGTCAGAAATGGCCAGCGACAAAACCCGCCGGCCATAGGGCAAATTTATGCAAATCATGCTTTCAGGAACTTGTTGCTGCGCACTGTCGAAGCTCACATTTCAAAACAGGAAATTCTGAACGCTCCAGCGCAAGACATTCCATCCTGATCGGCTGTCCTCAAATCCTCAACATATCTCAGTATCGCATACCAACATGTGTATCAACATATATCAACACATTTTCCTCCTCGCAGCACCGGGAAGTGCCTGGACAGCTTGACAATTGGCCTGGCAAACAGAGGCATAAGGATTCCGCCAGGAACACAAAACCACTGACTGCTGTAAAGTGGAAGTATGTGGAAGCGTATTTAAACAAGGGGGGGCCTGAGAACCCAAAAGCAAAACGACAGCAAACAAATTTGAGTAATACTGATAATTGGTTGATTTCTTTTTCGCCTCTTGCCAGCTTCTTTTTAGAAGATGAACATTATGGACGCATTCACTGCAAATTTCATTTTTCCCCACCTGCCAGGTGAGGGTTGTTAGATTTTATCAGAGTTGTTCTCCTCGGCTAGCTGTCCTCCTCGTCCTCGTCCTCCTCCTCCTCGCCCTCCGCCTTCTCCTCCTCCTCTGCCTCCTCCTCCAGTTTCTCCTCGATCATGTCTGCATCAACTTCCACCTCAACTTCCGCCTTGCCAACTCTTCGCCAAGCTCTTTGCCAACTTCCCACCTCAGTGTGCACCGCTGGACCTCAACCTGGGACCAAACCAGCTCAGTGTGCACGGCTGGACCTCAACCTGGGACCAAACCAGCTCAGTGTGCACCGCTGGACCTCAACCTGGGACCTTCCCAGCTCAGTGTGCACCGCTGGACCTCAACCTGGGACCTTCCCAGCTCTGCGTGCACTGCTGGACCTCAACGGCCAGATAGAATACCAGAAGATATGCCAGATAGAGTGTTAGAAGATATGTCAGATAGAATGCCAGAACATATTGCAGAAGATATGCCATGTAGAATGCCAGAAGATATGCCAGAAGATATGCTAGATAAAATGCCAGAAGATAGGTCAGATAGAATGCCAGAAGATTTGCCAGTAACAAAACGTATAAATGTCATGGTGGGGATAACTCGAAGTAAAGTAATTTCAGCTCTGCGCGGAAACATTGAGTGACAGTGTGCAATAGCCAAGCAAGCTCATTTGAGCACGGTCATGCGACGGCGGCTGATTTCCAAATCAACCTCTCCTTTCCTTTCCCTTCCTTTCCTTCCTTCCCCGTCCTTTCCCTTCCTTTCCCTTCCTTTTCCGTCCTTTCCCTTCCTTTCCCTTTCTTTCCCTTTCTTTCCCTTCCTTTCCCTTTCTTTCCGTTCCTTTCCCGTCCTTTCCATTCCTTTGCCTTCCTTTCCCTTCCTGTCCCTTCCGTTCCTTTCCTTTCCCTGTCTTTCCCGAAGCAAGGGTTCCCGTTGCCCAACCGTCCGCAACCACTCGCAACCGTCCGCGCGATTGCTATTTGGCCGTGCCTCTGGTAAGTTCTCCAGAAGGGCTAATTTTTGCGTTTCGCGTGGCAGGCGTGGCACTTCGTGACATTCAGACGTGTTTTGTAACGTGTCGAAAGTCATTTTGTGCAGCAGGCGCACTACTTTTGCGACGTTTTCAGAAGATGCGTTGCAGTTTTCGTGGCCGGCGCAGCACTTTGGACGTGTCCATCGTCATTTTGCGTGGCAGGCGCAGCACTTTAGACGCGTCGTGTTGCGTGTTTTTTTACGAATCGCATTGGCAGGGCTGCGTCAAGTGGCGACAAGGTGCAGATTCCGTGGCAGACGTGGCATTTTGTGAGATGTGCTGAAAATTGACGGAAGCCTCCCACGAAACATCGATTTTGAGGTAGCAAATTTAAAGGCTCGTACGAAAACTCGCAGGAAAACGTCAATTTTGAAGCTATATACAAAGTGTGAAAATTGGAGGAAGTCTCGCACGAAAGGCTCGTTTTGATGCTCCCACATCTCTCGTCTCAAGTCTCTGGTTTTCCTGTAGCGTCGCCGTGTCTATGGGGGAAGCTGCAAAATCTCTCCTTTTCGAAGGTTTCCAAGCAGGTTGTCATGTCGTTTTGCGTGGCAAGGGTGGCACTTTACACTCTACACTCCACCACACTCTACACTTTGCACACTCCTCACTCTACACTCCACCACACTCTAACACTTTGCACACTCCTCACTCCACACTTTAAATTAAAACTCTACACGCCACACTCCACACTCGACACTTTCCACTCCACACTCTACACTCCACACTTTACACTCCACACCCCTCACTCCACAATTTACACTTTACACTCCTCACTCCACACTCTACACTTTACACTTTGCACTTTGCACTCCTCACTCCACACTTTACACTCCACACTTTACTCTCCACACTCCGCACACTACACTTTACGCTGTACACTTTACACTCTACACTCCACACTTTACATTTTTGACTCCTCACTCCACACTTTACATTTTACACTCCTCACTCCACACTTCACACTCCACACTCTACACTTTCCAGTCCACACATCACACTCTGCACTTTCCACTCCACACTCCACACTCTACACTTTACACTCCATACTCTACACTTTACATTTTTCACTCCACACTTTAAATTTTACACTCCTCACTCCACGCTTTACACTCCACACTCCACACTTCCCACTTTACACTCCACACTCTACACTTTACACTCCACACTTTACACTCCACACTCCACACTCTACAGTTTCCACTCCACACTCTAGACTCTACACTTTACACTCCTCACTCCACACTTTATACTTTACACTCAACACTTTACAGTTTGCACTTTACACTCCTCACTCCACACTTTACACTCCACACTCCACACTTTATACTCCACACTCCACACTCTACACTTTACACTCTACACTTTACACTCTACACTCCACACTCCACACTTTACACTCCACGCTTTCCTCTCCACGCTTTACACTCCACACTTTACACTCCACACTTTACACTCCACACTTTTACGCTCCACACTCCAAAGTCTACACTTCACACTCCACACTCTACACTCCACACTCCACACTTTACCCACTGCACACTCCACACTTTACACTCCACACTCCACACTTTCCACACTTTACACTCCACACTTCCCACTTTACACTCCACACTCTACACTTTACACTCCACACTTTACACTCCACACTCCACACTACACTTTACACTCTACACTCCACACTCTACACTGTCCACTCCACACTGCAGACTGGTCACAGGGGAAATATGTATATACAAGACTGTTCAAACAAACTATTGCAGAAAATTGTTCTGAGTGACTGCATATACATTAACATACGTGTGAGCATTCAGGTTCGTGGGCTGCATCTTGTTCTTCTCCCCACCCATTTCCAGCCACTCCGTTGCACCCACGCCGTCCGCAGCCGTCCGCGCAATTCTCCCCACCCATTTCCCGTCCGCAGCCGTCCGCGCAGCCAAGCTCGCTCATCCCCAGCGACTTCTTCTCCCCAACTATTTCCAGCCACTCCCTTGCACCCACGCCGTCCGCGAAATTCTCCCCACCCATTTCCTGTCCGCAGCCGTCCGCGCAGCCACGCTCTCTCGTTTCCAGCGCCTTCGTCTCCCCACCCATTTCCAGCCACTCCCTCGCACCCACGCCGTCCGCAACCGTCCGCGCAATTCTCCCCACCCATTTGCCGTCCGCAGCCGTCCGCGCAGCCAAGCTCGCTCATCACCAGCGGCCTCTTCTCCCCATCCATTTCCAGCCACTCCCCTGCACCCACGCCGTCCGCAACCGTCTGCGCAATTCTCCGAACCCATTTCCCGTCCGCAGCCGTCCGCGCAGCCGAGCTCGCTCATCACCAGCGGCTTCTTCTCCCCACCCATTTCTATAGCCACTCCCTTGCACCCACGCCGTCCGCAGCCGTGCGCGCAATTCTCCGCACCCATTTCCCGTCCGCAACCATCCGCGCAGCTAAGCTCGCACATCACCAGCGCCTTCTTCTCCCCACCCATTTCCAGCCACTCCGTTGCACCCACGCCGTCTGCAGCCGTCCGCGCAATTCTCCGCACCCATTTCCCGTCCGCAGCCGTCCGCACGGCCAAGCTCGCTGATCTCCAGCGGCTTCTTCTCCCCACCCATTTCCAGCCACAACCTGGAACCCACGCCGTCCGCAGCCGTCCGCGCAATTCTCCCAACCCATTTGCTGTCCGCAGCCGTCCGCGCAGCCAAGCTCGCTCATCATCAGCGGCTTCTTCCCGTCCGCAGCCGTCCGCGCAGCCAAGGTCGCTCATCACCAGCGGCTTCTTCTCCCCACCCATTTCCAGCCACTCCGTTGCACCCGCGCCATCCGCAACCGTCCGCGCAATTCTCCGCACCCATTGCCCGTCCGCAGCCGTCAGCGCAGCCAAGCTCGCTCATCACCAGCGGCTCTTCTCCCCACCCATTTCCAGCCACTCCGTTGCACCCACGCCGTCCGCAGCCGTCCGCAGCCGTCCACGCACTTCTCCGCACGCAGTGCCCGTCCGCAGCCATCCGCGCAGCCAAGCTCGCTCATCACCAGCGGCTTCTTCTGCCCACCCATTTCCAGCCACTCCCTTGCACCCACGCCGCAGCCGTCCGCGCAGCCAAGCTTGCTCATCAGCAGCGGCTTCTTCT